ATAAACTGGTAGTTATTGCCAAAGAACAACCGCAAATTAATCATATCAATGGTAATAATAATAAAAGTATTTTAAGATGGTATGAAAAAACACAATCTCTTGAACTGATATTGTTAAAAGTTTTACTAGATAATATCAGCGTAATTAGAAATGAAAACTCGGCGAAAATGAACAATCAAGGTGTTATTATGATCAGGAAAGACAAAAATGTTTGTAACAGTTACAGGTTAAGAAAACATAAGGGAATCGAATACCACGGTAGTGTCATATGGGCGACAAGTCATTTTTGTATACTTATATTCGGTTTGAGATTACATTGAAGCTGTTGTTTCTGAGTAACGTTAGTCTTCCGTTATTCCGTCTATTTGTCACATAGTTTTTATGAGTGCTAGAAATAGTAAAGTTATTTACTTAGGGTTAATCGGGCTTGCAGTAAACTCTAGCAATACATTTTGTACAATATAAGGGCACATTTTCATCAAAATAAGACATATACTAGGAAATTCATTAAAGATGAGAGAAACCGATTTTTTTCTTGGCACAAAACTCAATAGTGTGCATCAATAGCTACAGACGATAACAAATCTATGACCTCATGGTTCAGTATATATCACGAAAACTTTAAACCATTAAATTAGAATTTAATGTTTAAATGTTCACGATATATCATCACCTCATTTCCAACCCTTAATGCCTACTAAATTCTTTAACTAGAATAAAATATCGCCTTGAAGTCAGATCTCGGGCCATTAAAGTGGAGAGCCCTTTCAACAACATCGTTCGATCTAAACAACGACAACATTAAAGGGCCTCACAATTCCATGTTAACCCTACCTATGTTTCAAAGATTATTGAGTTACTATCAGTTTATAATGAAAAAAAAATTACCATTAAATTCATTTATTTTAATGAATATTATTAATAAAACTGGAAAATTTTCAATAAAATTATTTCATTGAAATTCATTTGTCTATATAGCATAAAGTATTACGTAAATTCATTCAATTAATATTACTTGACCGAATAATTTCATAAGTATTATTACATCTAAATGACGTCATACGAAGTGACGATAATAAAAAGAAAGATTGATTTCTGTATTAAATTCAGATAATCCCATATAATAATACTAATAATAATAGTAATAGTAATAATAATAAGTGATAGTAATAATAATATAAAAGCGAGTCAGTTTACTCCCACCTGGTTGACTTATATTGTATAGTTTAGTTTTTAGCAAGCATAAAAAAACGGAGTAATGGAAATTAATTTCCCTTCAGAGATGTTATTGTCAGCCAATAGAATTTAAAAGAAAACTTTAAGCAGATAGATGATAGAAAAAGTGGTAATTTTAGGTAAAAAAGAAAAAGAGAGGATTTTCCCATCTATACTTTGTGTATTTAAATACTAAAAGTAAATGTGATAAACAAGAAACTAACATTTGACGAGATAGTCAATATCATTGAATTATGTCTTGTTTGGTGATCGAAGATAGTTGGGCAGAAATCTAAGCTAAGCAGAGTTTCTAAACACCTAGCATCTTAAAATAATTCAATAAATGACTAGTCATTCAGATTAGTGGCCACATTGAAACTTGAATAGGAGAATTCTACTAGGCACTGGTGATTATTTTGGTGTTATAATCTTTACATAAAAAAAGTATATATCTCCTAGACATGAATTCCTCATAAATGTATCCACCTATGATTCAATACCCCATTAAACCTAGAAATTTTGGATTTCATGCTTCGTATAATATCATTTGAACTATCATTAGATTATACAAAACAAACATAATATTTATGCACTCAATTACAGATAAAGATAATTAAACTATAAAACCAAACCTAACATCTTATTTGCAAGTTTAACGTAACTTGTTTGAAAAGTACAAAGTTTGTTACTTCGGTCTCATACAGAAAAAAAGCCATACATTGAATAAAAACCAAATTAGCTACTCATTTGATCATCTACTTGTTTGGATGAAAAATAACAGTAACTAAATTTGATGAAATATGATATACAGTAACAGAAACTTCTTATATAATTTATATAGTTTTAAAAAACTCTGAGATCAGTTTTGCCTACTGTCATAGTGGTTTGAATAGGTTCATCACTTTATTTCATTTGATTTATATGTTTATTTGAACACTAACTAAAATGTAGGTTTACGGTTCATATTGTATAGTTGATCCATGGAAATCCATCAATGACGATAAAATTATGATTACCAGTAATTGACGAATTAGCCAACACAAATCTATTTTATAGAGTATTGTAGCAATTAGAATGAGAAGAACCGCTTCATTCTTGACACTAAACTTTGAAATCCAGAGCTTCTAAGGGACAGTGAGCTTTAAAGAAACGGCAAAAACACTTTACTGATGTATAACACCAGTCTCATAACTTATATTTAGAGCATCTTAAGTATTTATTTTCTTGAAAATGTCAACTGAATATCAGTAAATAGAAAATTTATATCAGTGGCTTTATTTATGCTAATTCTTTTCCTGTTATGCGAGTCCATGGTTATTTTGAAATATTCAGAACTCGTAATCATTGACTTGGAGAAAAATCGATAAATGACCCTAGATAGCTACTATACACAACTCAAAATTGATTAACCCCAATATTTTTGCTTTAAGATAGAAAACAAGGTTGAAGTTCGATTCTAATCATTCGTCAATCAGGATACTGGTAGATTTTATGCTTATGATTGTTTGAGACAAAAGTCATAGCCCTTACCTAATAATACTTCAATTTTCAAATGGTAACTGTATCAGTGGTTATAGTGTGGTGTGCTACTTATATCGACATAAGTATTATATGACGTTAGTCAGGAACAGAATGTCTGGCAGCAGAGAGACAAGAGGATCGAGCAGTAAACAATGGAGCCAGAATGCAATTTGTATGAAAATGCAAGAACAATGAAGTCTGAGTCATGTTGAGACAACTGATGGACATTTTGCAAATTAAGCATTTACCATATGATTGTTAGATTTTATTAAGTTCTTTAATTTCCTACTAAGCACACTCGACTGCCCTACCCGTGTTCTTATTCACTACAATAGGAAAGATTAGGCATCGAATGTACGACTTGAAAATATAAATTGGTGAAATAAAAATAGAAAGTTATTAAGAATTTGGAATCTCAGGATTTGGGATAAGACAAACAACGGATGCGCCTTGAAAACAATTTTGAAGTATTTCATCCAAAATCTCTAACCACTGGTTACGGTGATCATGAGGACCCTATCAGGTACTCTACAACTACTAACATGGCTGAGTTCAATTATTACTGATTTCATGGAATGATGGCATATTTTGTTTTGGGTCAGTTGAACTGTTCACTAAAGTCTTCTGCCCATCTGTTCAATCTCCTGGATTGAGAGTGAATAATAGTCCCGTCTTTTTCCGAGATAGTTTTACTAACAGTTGAATATTTAATACACATTTCCTTGGTAAGCTTTCGCTGCTTACCACTGCTCACAATCATTAATAGGTTGGTGAGTTGTCGATTTTATTCTACTGGTCATGATATAAGATATCTTGTAAATGGAAAACATCCCTGTTAATAACCCATTAAAATTCGAATCATCAATTTGAAGAAAGGTTTCACTAAATACGGAGATACCTTATCTAGTTATATCGATGTGGCAGTTTAACTATTGGATTAATTCAGCTTGTGACCATCTTTAAGCTGAAAAATAACTGAGATACACACTAGGTGCACTACTTTTCCGTGACCCACTGGACGTTGAATGACCACGCATCCTAAAAATTTCAAAGTTTTTTTCAATAAAATAGATTACTTAGCGTTTAATGTGGAAAGAATTTTCCGCCTAAATTTCAAACAATAAATAATACCTGTCACACCGAAAATCATTGCCTACGGACGTTAAAAGCTAGTGGATGAAGCCTACAAAAACTTTAAACAAGCTATTATTTTAATTTCATCATACTATTCTCAACTTTAATAATCATTAGAGACCCACCATTAACATTCATTTAAAGAATATAACCTGAAACGTTTTGGAAAATATACAAGCTATTATTCTGGTGAGAATTTCATCTTCCTAGATGACTGAAATACAATCACTAAAATTTATGGAAGAGGGGGATCAGAAACATTACCTAATCAAGCTCAAATAATCCCATTTCACAATAATAATAATGTCTCAGTCAACATTTGTTACGAAACTGTAAAATAACTCTCATATACCTGCAACAATAATACAGCTTGTTCAATAAACAGTAATATTTTCTCCAAAAAAGAAACATTGTGAAAAATTAATGCAACCCGGTTGGTTACACAATACATTTTACAAGCTGAAAAATTCACCTGATTGTTAAGATTATTTACAAGAATTCAGGCACAGTATAATGATTGTTTTGTTTTTTTAATTAGCTAAATGTTATTTAGATAAACTTATAGGTTACATATATACATAACCTATAAAACCTAACATAAATAAGTAACAAAACAACAACAACAAAAAAAACAAACAAGTGATCACACAAAAATTTATTAACTACAAAAGAAAAGGAAACTAATATGAATAAAATGCATCTATTATTATTATTATTATTTTCATAGAAATTTTTATCACATAAACTTTTAACTAGTCATTTGAATTATTCATGTCTGTTTGAAATGAACTTAGTTGAATGATGAGTTTCAATTTAAAATAATTGTCAAGTTAAAATGATTACAATCTGACAACATTTTGAATTAATCATGTTACATACATAATGTCATTGTGTATTGGTCTTTACTTTTTTTATTCACTTCTTGATAGTTTAATGGATAATAATTTTTGAATTAACTTGACAGTAAACGAATTAATAATTGGGGTGTGGGGGTGGGTGAGAAGCAAACAAAACAAGGGGAATAGTAGGCTAAAACAAATCACTATATATATACCATATTTTCAATCATTAAATATGAAATATACAAAATGGAATAATGAGTTAATAGTAATAAGATTTTGTTTTTTTTTGTAAAATCACTCCATTATGTATACGATTCATCTAGTAACCGTAATGACACTAGTAAATCACAAAAAAGGATAACGATAATTTGAATTTCTTTGAAATGTACTTTACACAATAATACATTTCAATGTTTGTGTTCTTTTAAGAAAATGTAAGTCAAGTTACAAACAATGCACCTTTCCTGTTTGTATATGCTTTGCATACATACGGACGAAATAGGAAAGGAAGGGTGAAATGAAAGGGGAATATGAAAGAGTTGCAGATATGACACATTTTAGGGTCTTAGCAACGGTGATAATAATAATAAATGGATAGCAAAAACATAATGACAATATCTATGTAATCAAGACAGAAAAATTAAAGATAATAGGCTTTTTTCCCGAACATAAAAACATTCTCTTAAAAAACCCGAAATCTACATACTTCATACATCTTGAAAAATAATTAATATCGTTATCATTATAGCGAATAAAAGAATTTGATTTGATCATTTGCTTGCTTTTACTTGTTTGTTTACGTGTTTTTCAATAACAAGAAGTTAATCAATCAAGGGTAATTTAATAGGAATGGTGATGATGACGATTTGATGATATTCATGAGATGATAAGAGTGATAAACAAAATTTTATGTGCATCAGATAAGTAATAATTAGAAGAAGGGACAATGCACATAAACATTATCATAATATAAATAATGATCATAATGTGAGTTTATTTAGAAAGACACAAGAAAAACATTGAAATATGGTTATTTCTGTTGCCGGTTTACTGGTTTTATTCTTAAAAAAACAAACAATAAAACTCAAAAGTGTGTACAGTGTCATGAAATAGTGCAAAACATACGAAAGTATGATTGTGCGTATTATTCTCAATGTATCTGAATACAATTAAACACACGCACGCACATACCCACACTTATTGAGGCGAAATGTAAAATGAAAACCAAATAAACAATCGAAAAAATACCTGAAAAAAGTCAAACTAAACAAACATTCCAATATGAAACAAAAACATAACTCTCTCAAAGAAAAGAAAATTTCCGAAATATTTAACGTGTTTGTTCAAGGTTTTCATTTGATGTTGATGGAGGCACTGGTGAATTTGTGTCGACTGTATTAATTGATTCCGGTCGATCTGTGGTAGTAGTAGAGTGTTGTTGATTTTGTCGACGTACACGATGACGGTGACGATGGTGACAGTGGTGGCGGTGTTGACGTCGACATCGGTGGCGATGTCGATTTTCCCAATATCGTGGCAAATTAATCAATAATGAGTTAGGTGACGTGCCTGTTTCCATTGATTCTTTAATTTTACTTAGAAATTCACTTACAGTAATATTATTGTTATTATCATTACTGACAGATGAAGACTGAGCTATTTCAGGTTGTAGCGTTTGTATTGTAGTTAAATTTGGTATATTTGTATATAATCGTTGCCATGCATGAAATAAACTATTCAAAAATACGGGTTTACCATCTTTATTAGCGCATAACATTAACCAATCCCATGTACTACGTAATATCTGATCTGAATCTAATTCTTGTAAGAAAGGTAATAAAATTTGACAAAATCCGGTTTCCCAATCTCGACGAGAATTTGACGTTGAAATGGTAGAGTGAGAAAGGTGATGAGAAGTAGATGGGAGATTTCCATTATTAGCATTATTATCATCGTTTTTATTATTGCTATTGTCCGTATTATTATTAAAAATATTCTGTGTTGTATTGTTGTTGATTTGTTCTGAACTATTCAGATCAAGACATTCTGTACTTGAAACATCATCTGGATTTGAACCTATTTCACATTTTTGACTAGAAGAAGATAATGGACTAAGCAAATCTGAATCTGTCATACCTGAATGTTGCATTTCCGCTGTAGTACCACGATCTTCGTCATGTTCTTCGTCAGCTAATGGAGCTCGATCACTTATCGTTAATGTGGGTGATAGAGAACTTAGTGTAACAGCGTGTTGATTTATATCTTCCACATCTTCATCAGTACAACTAGGCGATGACATACTACACATATCAACTATAACTGATTGATGTAAATTTGTCAATTCAGTACCAACACTGGTTTCACCAACACATGATGAGGTCGAAGAGGTACCAGATGACGATGATGATGATGACGATGATCTTGAGTGTGAAGATGGTGATCGAGTAATTTCAGTGGATGGTTCATTAAGTTGTCTTTCTTGCTCATTTATTTCTAATAGTTCGTGATTATCTGACATGGAAGGTGAAGTTGCTTGCCATGATCGATAATATCTTCGTCTTCGAAGTGTACGTAATCTAGATTGATCAGTGTTGTCATTATCATCATTTTCATCAATATTGAAAGATATAGCAGTATCAGAAGTTTGAGGTATAATAGAAGTTTGTTCAGATGATATATTTTCACTGATAAAATCATCACTGGCTTCTACAATTATGTCTTGATTTTCATTTTCTTGCTGTTGTTGTTCTTCTTCCTCAACTTCTTCTTCTAAAGCATTTTGAGCCATACATGTTGATGTTTCACGACGATTTATACTACAAGATACTAAAGATGTTGATTGATTGCCTAGATCTTGTTTTTTTCCATGATGATGGTGATGATGATGAGTTTCATGACGATGATGTTGAACTCTTAAACGTCTACTATGCGATAAAATATATGGTTTATGTTTCACCTTAAATGCGCTCAATAATCCACAAGAATCTGGAATTAAAAATAACCAACATTATTTATTAGAGTATATAAAATTGATGAGATATTTGAAGTCGGGAAAACGAACGCTAAATCTGAAAATGAATGACTTTTATATTATTTCACATAAGACGACCAGTGTAAATACATTTGTATTGTGCTCTTTCTGTAAGCTATCCACTTACAAAAACTGTCTTCTGATCGACTAAGAACTACACAAAACTTCATTGTGAATATATTAAGTTCATACTATAATCTACTTTTAACATACTAGTTATTAAAATAAGTGAATTTTTTTAAATGGAAATATTCTATACTCGATATGAATAAAATAAATAAACTTGTTACTATGATTATAATCTTGTTCTAAATCTTGGAAAAGTCAGTATTGAAAATGTATTCTCATGTTAGAACTTTTCTAATTTCTATTAGCAGGGATTTTAATCCTGTTTTTATTTTTATTTTTAATTTTTTTTTTAGATTTTATAACTTTTGTAAACTTTAGTAAACGAGGAAATTTATAAAATTTAAAAAAAAAGTTATTTCTGTCAATCTCACATGGAAAAAAGTAATTGGCGGATAGTAAATTTAATCACTTTTCATAAATAGAATATAATAAAAAGTTAATACGAAGAAAAAAAAGCAAGATTGAATCAACTGGTAGTGATATATCTGATCGAACGAATTCGAAATAAATAATAATAAAAAGATTCACAATATATTACAACTAATGGAAACAATGATGTCATAGAAATTTCACTTGATCGTCTATTGAAAACTATTCTAACATCATTAACTTGGTTCCCCTGAAAATATAACAATATTGACTTAAACAAGAATTGATCAATAAAGCTGATTAGAAAATTTCAAAACTTGGTTATTCTAAGAATATTTAAGGAGCAAATAGAAATATAAACTATTTAGGACATGTAAATGTGTAGTGGTTCAACTTAACATAATTTGTACACCGGTATATCGAGAGATGTGCATATAGATGAGAACAACAACAACACGAAGAAGATCAAAATAACAATAAAAACAGTAGTAAGAAACCAAAGGAAAAGTAGGATGAGTCAGGATGTGAACAAAGAACAGTAAATTTAGGAAGAGATAACTAATGAATTCATTCATATTCTTAACCCACGTGCAATCTCACATAGGCCTTATCCTAGATTATGTCGTGAGGGAACTGAGTTCCTTGGGTTATTTCTACAAGACAATTGTGATTTAAGACTAAGAACCACATCTGGATGACATTGCTAAGTAATACTTACTGTATTACAAATTTATTTGTTTCCGCTACTTTCTCTTAAATATTTTCCTTCTACATTCCTCCTTGGTTTTTTTCATTTTATATATATATATATATATATATATATATATATATATATATCGGGTGAAATTTCCACAGTTATTTGAGAAAATTCCCCACAATACATATTGCACAATACAACCATAACATACTTATTATTTCATTCTGATACGAAATAGAATGTGACGTGCTAATCATAATGAGCAGAAAAGTGCATCAACCTCATACATGTACTCCAATTAAATACTCCTGGTTGAGCGAAAGCTCGTGGAGAATCATCGTCGAAAATGCCAAACGGTATTCAAAAAAGCTTCCCACTTCACCAGCTTTTAGTTAACTTTGTCATAGAAATTTTTTCTGAGAGAACACTCTTGTCAATCAACCTTTCAAGAGTTGATCTACCAGGAAATCCACTTGTTGACTTAAAATATCCAGGGGACACTTTCTTTTGGTGAAGACGCTGACAAAATACACAATATTCTTACCACCTTAAACAACAATGCAAGCATGCTTGGAATATTGCCTTCAAACTGGTCTATTTCTATGCGTGTCGGTTACTTCTTTTATCTTGGAAGTTTCGTTAGGTCTTGTGATTGGTGTCTGATAAAATCTCAGCACAGATTCAGAAAGGTCAGCCAACTATTCCCAGCTTGCATGGCTAGTAGCGTGGGTGCGATATCCATCTGCTAACCAAAAAATGAGTATAGTGGTCAGTAGTTCGTTCCGTTCTACTTTATGGGTATTAAACATGGCCATTAAGAATATAGGTTATTCGTAGGTTACTAGCATTCGACCATAGGTGCCCTCGAAAATTAAAGAACGTTGTATATAAACGTATAGATTAATACATAAACCCGAAGAAAGCATAATTAAACATTTGTTTAAATTTATATTGTCAACTAAACAGGACGATAACTGAACAACTGATGTTTCATATATATATATATATATAAAGAAAATAAGACATTATTTATACAGTAATATATTTATACTTACCGAGACATTCAGTTTGTAAGCCTAAAAGATTATAAGTTGCAGTCAATGCAGCAGCTTTTGTGTAACTATTTTGTGAACGCTATGAAAATAAAAAAATGTAAAACTGAAATTAGTAAAACTTAATCACAAGAAAAAAACGGGACGACATTTTGAAGAAATAGAGGGGGGGGGGAATAATAATAATAGTAATAATCCACATATATAAGTTTTATCAACCGAAAAAAAAGAAAACGCAGGAAAAATATAAGGATAAATGAACATTTTGGTTTATAATATACACAGGAACTAGGCTGATTCCTTTATGTATTCATTTTTTTGATTCCGTTCCTATTAAATAATAATAGTTGACTTATTTGGAGAGTTACACTCTTAGGCCAACACACTAATTCACACAAACACGGTTTTTTTTAACCATTATCTACTATCATCGGAGACTAAGGAAAGAAAAGAGTGTATGGTTGAATAATATCTTCTAAGGATTTGACATTTTGATAATAACAAATAAACTATTTAAACTTAACATTTAAAAAAGTCATACAGTTCTAGTCAGCAGTAACAGGATTATTGTATGACAAGAACCAAGTGAAAATTACAGTTCATCAATCGATATTAGTCTAAAATCTGCAGAAAGGATATACACAGAATATTCGACTTTTAAAAGTGAAATGCGCTAGACAAAAGCACAATGCAAGCCTTTGTAATAAGATTAGGCTGCCTAATACAGTTCGTAGTTAAACAAACATAGAAAACTGGTAAGTATTAAATAGCTGTTTCCTCAACTATTTCCAAAAATCCCACCAAACTAACAATCATATACTCATTAATGGTCAATTTCGAAAGTGATTCTTGGAGTTCATGTGTGAACCTATGATTCGGGGAAGTATAATGACATCTATAATCACCCCCACCAACGGCATGGGATGGTTCTGATGCGTCATTGCAAATTGAGTGTAGATTATAAACTTCGGTAAGAATTTATTTCTTAGTAAGTATTTCGTTGTGATTAGATTATTTAAGAGGTATCTTATTTTTCAAATCAATTTCAAAGTAAAGTTGAGTGATTATTTTTATTTCAAAAGTACAAACTTAATGTACAATAAGTGTATAAAAAAACCGATGCTATACAAGAACACGAAAAATTTTATTATTTAAAAATTGATAAAGTGTTTTCAAGTATCGAAACGATGACACTAAATGAAGGTGATGCTTTAACTTTATGTTTATATGTTGTTCAGTTCGTTTAAATAGCCGGCTCACTGAAACGAAAATAGTAGTATGATGTAAGGCTCAGAAATTTTTACTCGTTCATCAGATGATACTTCAATTTCAATAAGAAACAACAACACCACGTGATCAGTTACTTTTAATTTTCGATAATTCTGAGGCAGAATAAAGCATCATCATCATTATCCATACCAAAAATTCATTCAAAACATATTAATTTTTATAAACAGAGATGGATGGTGACTAGCAGTGGAATCTAATACACGCATTTCGTTCAATACAAAAATGGACCAAAGTTCACCGCATTACACAAGCTATTGGCCATCTGGACTCAGTAGTTAGGTGGATAACGTGACGGCGTTTGAAGCGAACGGTACTGGGTTCGCCTCCCCGAGTGAGCATCAATTCTGGTATGTACGTACATCCAGCTGACGAGATAAAAATAGGACGAAACGCGAATCCTAGATTCCACTGCTAGCTACCATCCACCTCTGCTCATGATGCTTGTGACTTAAGGCAGTATCGAGGCAACTCGCACAGGATGCACATATGCCAATAAGTGATTGGTCTATGGAATCCTAAGCATCACTGAGAAGAGTCAAAAAACAATCAATACGTTTTAATTTTTGTTTCTCAACACACTTTCTTCCAATTCAGCATTACCTATTCATTAATTATTTTCCATTTGGAAACAAAACTTGCCTTAAATAGTTGATTTCGAACGAATATAGGATATGAAATTGTTAAAAAATATCGGTTAATATATTCAAAAAAATAAATTGATATGAAAAATACATCATTTATTTTTTGTCGAGAAAGTGATGAAGGTCGGGATAAATATAAACAAATTTCAAACAATAATTCACCAGACTATGTATATATTGGCGAATATACTATGGTTTTTTGTATCGGCAATCAAACACAGTAAGAACGAATGTTTAATTTATTAGCGGAAAATTTAATGTTTAGATTCTAGTGAACATTGCACGAAGTTTTACAGAAGATTAGACTAACGCGGTTAAGGACAATATAACCGATTAATCGCTGGTTGGTGAACAATACTCCGTTTTTCTAGTCCTCTAGCGTTGATCGAATTCTATCGATCAAGTTGCAATGTGGCTACTAATGAAACTGATTTGACAATTTTCAAATTCTGTACTCATTAGAAAATAATAAATACACTTAATAGGTCGTAGCAGTGGTCTATAGGTTGAGTTTGATCTCCTGGGTCCGAACCGTACTGAACTTCCTTCAGTTTGAACAACCGGGTAGTATCACTAGCCCTTACAACTAGAATGTGACAAAACAACAAACATGTAGAGAGTTTATCAATTAAACTTGTGAGATAAAATAAATAACTTGATAAATTTAATACCAACGAAAAAAAGAAAAAAATTGAAGTGATAGAAAAACATTGAAATAAAAGAAAGAAATTACCATAAATAATGTGAGTTTTTCAACTAAATCTCCGTTTCTGTGAACTTCGCATCGTGCAGTTCGACCAGTGGCAATATGTGCGATCACAAGTACAGCCTGTAATACGAAATAAAAACCAGCATTTAGATTATAAGCAGTTTGAAATAATTTTGTTTAATGAGAATAAACAACCAACCAGAATAAATTGTCCAACTGTACACAAAATAATTCATCAACTAGGGGAATCGCAGTTAACTATCAATATATAAATTGTATGCATAGTGTAACCTAAACTTTTGACATTTATTTATCTTGGAATAACATTAAAATAAGTATGTGGGATTTACTACTGAAATACAATTTAAATTAAAAATATTTATGAAAATGCTGTGAACTGATGAATTTTAGTATAGTGCAAAAACGGTATCATGGAGGCATTCACCTTCTTAGAATAGATTTTGAAATTTAGGTATAAATGATGTACTTTGATCCTCCATCGCAGTTTAAAATTAAGAATAGAATAGGAACGGAATAATTAAGGATAAAAATTTATATGGAATTATAATGTAACTCATCTTACAGGGAAATACAATGAAAGATTAATAATCAATAAAAAATTGTAAATATCCTGGACTTCAATAATTTTTCTGGTGAACTGAGCACCAGCCAAAGTCTCCGAGAAAGAAGAAAAACAATTTATTATTATATAGAATATATGATAGATATTGACATAGTAGTTTCACATTATTATCAAGGTAAAACAGAAGAATTACACTGAATCCTAAGAAAACATACTCCGAATATACAACGCAGTTAAATTTATTTCAACATAGATCAGTATAACTGATATGATGTGAATACAACAAATGGCCGGGGCAATGGGATTTTAGAAAAAAAAAGCCACATCAAATTATTTTAAATTTACATTTGTTGGGCGATGATTTAGAAAAAGTGAAGCAGAAAAATAAAAGAAATTTTTACTACTGCGGGTCAAATCCAAACACTTTTGCAGCAGCAACAGCAGTTTTTTAAAAATCAGTTGGAATTAAAAGAAAAAATTACGAATCATTCACATTTTGGAGATATGGCGGAAATTGGTGAACTGATTTCTAAGTTGCATACAGAAACGGAAAATATCTCCGGATTGAATAAATATCTCGGTAAACGGCTGTATGAACCCGTGACAAGCAGTGAATTAGACAATATGATATTCATACATGATCCTCTCAGTGATAGAGTAAAAGCCATTTTAGAAACAAAGACCAGAGCTGGTTCCAGTCCAGAATGTTGGTCTAGTGAATTGTTCGTTTTTTTAGCCGCTGTGATCTTGTCTGGTTGCGTAGTTGTATTCTAGGTTCCTGTTGAGCTTTTATTTTGTCAGCTGGAAATTCCATTAATATATCCTAGCAAGTTTTCCAGACACAGCGTCTTCACAATCTTGTCTTTCTGTGTGATTACTGTATCTCGTTCACATGAGTTCACTTCATTCATACTGCCACTGTTCTTCTTACCGTTCAACTCGCCTATCGTGGTTTGTAATCATGGAAATCTCGCACTCAACTGCTTCATCTGCATGAGAACTTCTGGTTTTGACGTCACTGTTAATTAAACTGTGACTTCTTCATTTTCACTTCCTACAGACTGAATTAAGGAGTAGTATCGTGAAATACCAGGTGGTACTTTGGAATCCTAAGATTACACATAAAATCCGTCTAATAATAGTGTAGAATATGAAAATCTATTAATAAAAGCCAACCACACAGCCTCTGATTATCCACCGCTAGAACTTTCGGTTGTGTTTCCGATATTTTAGTATTAAGTGTAAAGTGTGGTGCATTTTCGTTGAAAATTCCACCTGAAACCCGAAACTTTACTGTATCGTTTTGATCCTTTATCTCGAGAGGAGTTACAATGGATATATCTACAACAGAAAGTTGTGGATATATCCAGTGGGTCTTTTCAAGTTTAAGAAAAACGAAAATGCTGAGGATTCGAATAGGTTAAATCATCAAGTTTTACTATTTATCAGTGGAAATTATTCAGAAAATCATATCCAACATAATAAAAACTATGATACCAATGGACTTAGACGCACAATAAATATCGCGTTTTCTCATACCTACCACTATACATTATAAAAAAATTGGGAGGTTTGATAGTAACATGTTTAAACGTGTTTATATTTACTAATTACTCAATAAGCTTTGTTTCGTTCACTACTTAAACATGTTTTAACGTGTAAATAATATATATTTTCAGAGTCATGAAAACGTTAGGAATTCACCTTCCTTTCCATTATTATCGGTAGTAAACTGTAGATTCATAAGTTCACTTAGAATCATAAAATAAAACTCTTCTGATAGTAATATTCACAAAATCAAGCTTCTGTTGAATGTCGCCTACACATTTATGGAGATCGAATATATATAAACAAAATGGTCCGAGTTTCTATTACATTTTTTTAATTACATGCACAGTACGATTATTCGGATATGTGAACATAAACTACTTCATGCTCCAGTGATTGATTAACTGGGTTATATTTGCGAACTGAAACTTGAAAAATGCTTTAAAAATTGACTCTCCATGTGATTCCAAACTTCAATGAAAATCACCATATCGGACGAATTTTCATAAACTAAATAACTAAACAATATTCATATTTACACTGGTGATAAGTATTTAGGGGTATGTATTTCTCATAATTCCAAACAATGGACTAAACCATGACAAAGAGTGAGACAGATACTCACGCAAGATACCAGAAGGTGGTCATATTATAAACCTAAACTGACTGTAGTTGAAAGCGTAAACCAATAGATCACGACTCAATACTCCTTACGAGACCTGGAGTAGGTCAGGGGTTCGATCCATTGGTGGGGTCACTTGTACATGTTATGCACCAGATTCAGACTAAAATTAAACGAGTTATTTTATATTCCCTAGTTTTCAGTTTGTGACGAAAAAACCAACTGAGTAACATATCTTTAAAACTTACAATCTAACATACTAAGAAACATTATTTTATAAATTGAGCTAACCTGTTCTTTGACGGGTTGAGGATAGTTCGACTCCAATACAGCAATTATAAATTGAGTGATATTCCACCAATGCTCACTCACTACAGTGTCTATGAACTTGAGGAAAGATTGAGCAAAGATAAAAATGCTGGATATATATATATATATATATATATATATATATATATATATATATATATATATATAATGAGAAAAGATAAACAAAAGTATTTCGATGTTAAGACTATCAGCAACTGATAATTTTCGACTGCTTACACTATAGAAGTTGACATTTTAGAGTAGTTAAGAAAGAAAATTAATTTACACTGTACTTCCACAAACCTTAATGTTTATGCGACTAAACTGATTGTATAGTATAAATGTTTCAAAAAACCACACTTCTATATGATACATATTACTAAGGCTTTAACTTCAAAGTGCGTTGAGAAGAGACTAGACAATAAACAGGGATAAAGTGAAATAGAAGAGTAACGATGTTTTGTAGGGGTGATTGTTGTGCTTTTGTATATGTATCAGTGATCCTGAATAAAATCTTATAATGAAAATCTTTATTTACATGAAGAGTGAAAGTCAAGTGGTTTCCAACTTGGCAATATCAACAGACAATGTGACTTTATTGCCCGAGAAGTATAGGAGACTAGTTAGATAAAAAAATATTTAGTTTAAAAAATTCAGTGGTTGAAGCATTCTGCTCTTAATCGATCACAGATCCTTAACCCCATTTCATTTAATACAGTTTGCCGCCCTTTTACTAACATCAACACTCATACATAAAGAGTGTGGATTAAACCCAAGTATGTCTGTACCTGGTAAATTATTCGAATCAAGTCTTTCAATCAAATTAATTAGTATTTAGCACTATTAATAAAACACTATTAATGAGATCATTATTATAATCAATTCAACAAAATGGACATTCTGAAACTTACTTGTTCATCACGAAGTAGATTACGTAAAAAGCTCAATGTTTGATAAACAATTAAAATATGAATTTGTGCACTATTTTTAGAAAACTTAAATTTAGATTGTGTATTATTCGACAAAAATAATTGATGCTGATTATAATGATGAGTAGTATTGGAACGATTTAATAAATTTAAATTTGTTTGGTATTTCTGTTTCGAATGATCATCATTGATTTTTTCATTGCTTTGATTAAATTCACCAATATATTTAATTTCAGTACTTTGATGTGATACCATAATTCCTGGTATTACAGGAACTCTGTAGAGAACAATAATAATGGTTTTAAAAAATGAGAAAATTATTCATAGCTTTAAAAGTTAGCTTTTCGAGGAGATTGTTTTGTCACCAATCGACATCAACTGAAGGATCATTGGAAACCAGGGAGTTTTGGACGGCTGTTTTATTTTGGCTTCAAACGTTTCAGGGAATGCTCACATACAATCTCCGCCAACAATCGAATCTTGAATATTTTAAGTCCTAAGCAGTAAGTGAGTTACTGCCAGATTATAGTGTGAAAACACAAAGGTATAACACTGAAGCATTCATCATCCAAAGGTCCCCGATTTCCAGTGCTTCTTCAACTAACATTAATGATCCATGATGAAGACTATGATCTTTTTTACTGAACCAATCTCTCTAAATTTTTCTATATACCACCAAACGAGAAAAATATATCAGTTTACTGTTTACTTGATTCAACTGTACAGAGTACTATTTTTTCTACTATTTTTGTAACACTTGTTCGACAGAAGAGGAAGAGTTATCACCTCTTCCCTCTGTCAACATCTCATGACAATTATATTAAGACAAATACAAAAGTGAAAAACAAGTACATATATTCACTTCTAAACATGAAGTTTGATTTTCTTCTGTAATTGTTGTATGTATTCTATATGTATGTCTCTCTTTACACAGATTCACTGAATAGTGACAGTTTAAAATAATGGACTTAATTTGTTGTATGATTTGTAAAGAAAAACAGAATGAATAACAAAGTGTATTACTCTTTCCCAATATTAATGTATCAGGAAATGTATTTTTTTAAATTGACTAATAAATAGTTTGAATAAGGGTGGTTATTTGGAGAGGCTTGTGTAGATGAGTAAAGTAAATTTTATTTACAAATAATTTGTGTCATTATTCGTATTTTTTATAACTTCATATAATTTGTTTAGGTTAACTCTAGAAGTTTCTGTACACTTTCAACATGTCACACTGATTAATATTGATAGAATATACATATTACCCAAATCACTCATTGTTTAAACTTTATCAGTTGCCACACCTATAGGTTACTAATACACTTGTTACATACCTTTATAGCTTGTACTTTACAACGTTGCCTTGGCAAACATATGTTTGTATGTAGGAGTATATTTCAAACTTTGGAATGACCTTCACCTCACCATCATTGTGGTATCAATTTTGGACCTTGGGAACACCAGAATTATTTAGTGAGCAAACGTTTCATTGTGTTTTTCATCTCATTTCAATATCGTGAGTAACGGTTTATTCTGAATGACCTCAAAAACTTGAACGAACATTAACCACTATTAATGCTGTTTCTGAGGTCAGATACCCAGGATACGTAGTAAAAGACTCAAGGTTCTGGTTTACCCAAATTGAAACTCTGTTTTAAGCATGAGAAATTCGATAACAGGCGACCAGATATGCACAAGTAGGAGGTGAGTTACCGATCGAAATTGCCGCACAAGTTGAAAAGCTAATTGACTAAGTGCCGGAAGACACCCGGTACGATAAACTCAAGGCAGCAGTAATTTGACGTAATTTAGTCTCCGATCAGAACAAACTAAAACACTTATTAACCGCGTGGATACTTTCAAGTAGGAAACCATCACAACTATGATATATAAAACAACCAGTGGGGTCATATAAGTTAGATGAAGAGGTATTACAGCAAATGTAGCTCCAACAGTTGCGTACAACGTACGGCAGATCCTAAGTGTATGAGGTCAGTCAATCACTCTTGAGGACCTGGTCGATATGATGAACAAAATGATGGAGATGTACCCAGACAGTCGTAATCTAAATACGTAAAACTGTCATTGGGACAAGCACATGTGGAATGGCAGCACCTCAACAACTGCTTGATTTATCTAATAAATCACTAGTTTTACAAGTAATTGAATCCGAAATCCACGGGAGATGCATTAAGTCATCATCTGGAATCAGGTCATACTTCAGACCTCATTTCAGACATGCACAAACCAACGCCAGGAATTTGTTTGTTGAACAAAATCAGTCACCCCCATTACTGTATGGCCGAGGAGAGGAAATTGCTTTTATCAGAGAACGAGATTAATTGAATGATTACTGGTACTTTGAAGAGATTTTGACCGTTCTTCTGTGAACTGTTCAAGTAACAAAAAATAACCTAAAGGCAGTAAATCGTTGTTCAATAGAAGAGACGATATACAATTCGAAGTAGTTACATAATGTACATTACTAGTATTCATACGAATATATATATATATATATATATATATATATATATATATATATATATATATATATATATATATATATACGTTGTTTAATAACTGGAAAACTAGTAAACAATGTTTTACTGCTTATTTGCAATACTAAACTGTGTGAACTATTATTTGGTTCAATCTAATACAACAGGAAAGCGTACACTTTCTTTCGTTATCATACATTTCTCTTTGGTTTGTGTATTGGTGGTATCCTACAATTGTTTAATGTTAAGTGATATATGATCAGGATTTTTTACAATAAATATTTTGCAGTCATACAAAAACAAATGACAGAGAATAAAAAGGCCAGATCGAGTTTTAATTCCATGTGGTATCTGTTTAATATAACATTCTTTTGTAATAATTCAGTGAAACATTCATTTTGTACTTTCACCATTTCAGTTAAGTATAATATTCATTAAGTAATCATAAAATGTTAGTTAAATCTGTGTGTAAATGAGTGTATCTGGCTCGCTATACCAAATCAATACAATGAAATAAAATTAACGACTGAACGGGAAGCGAATCAAAATAATTGCAGTAACAACAAGAACAAGAAAGACCAGTGACTAAGACAGAATGCAAAATTAAATGTGAATTAGAATACTGGAACTAAAGATACAGAAGAAAATTATGTGAATGTATAATTCAATCGTGAGTGATTTTGAGCCATGTCACTCAACGTCTCCAATTACAAGCCTCAGTTATCCCATTATATATATATCACAGACAGATTCTATACTAATTTAATGTACGTTTTGAAAGGTTTATAGAATCTATTTAAATAACGGTCGAGCAAACACATGCAAAAACACATTATGACCAAATAAAATCTAATTACACAAAGGAATAAAAAACTAGAAAAGTCAGCCTACCTATTTCCTGAATTCATATCGAAATTAGTTATTTTCATATTACCTTCCCATTCATTTTTCATAGGAAACGAAAAATTAAATTCATTATTTGGTATCGATGAAGCCAACTGTAGTAATTCTAACCATACACCTTTATTAACTAATTCATGAAAGAGATTTATACAAACACTTGAATTAGCGGTGTGCAATAAATTACTTAATCCCCATATTCCATTCAAATGTAATACTGGTATAATATCATGAAACTGATGATTTGTCATTGTTGTTGCTGGACTATTTAAGTTAGATTTTGTTATTGAAGGACGAGATGAGTTATCATTAGTACTAGGATTATTACTACTGTCATTAATATTATTATTAAAACTATCAGCATCGCATGTATTGATTGATTGACTGTTTGATTCAACTTTAGTTATTAACAGAGATGATGACTGTACATTTCCAATTGTCAGTAAACGGATGAAAATACTGATAAAATCATCAATTAAAGTCTGGAATAGAAATATATATATATGTACGTAACAATAAATGGACATATACATAAACATGACTAAAATAATTTCGTTTATCAAAAAGGAGATTTTTGTACATAATTTAGCGTGAAAATAATAATAATAATCTTTGTTTATCAGAAAAGAAAACAGATCAACCAGTCATAATCAATGTCTGATCTGACATGTGTAGAAACAACAGCATGAAATACAAACTATAAAATTGATTCATAGTGAACTGTACAAAAAAAGTAAAAATGATGTTTCCAGCGTATAATCATATTAAAGTATATCCAATACGATAACAATGTTAATGAAACTCAACTTGATCGTTACAAATCGTATAGTCAGATTATTTAGATTAAGAGATAATTACTAGCATTGTGTATATACTCCGATAATTATCGTATATATCTTTCAGAATGATGTTACATTCTTAAAATGGTATAAGTTTGCGAATAATCCATGTAGTTTTCGCAGTAAAATGTAGCTTTTATCTTTGAAGAGGTATATTACTTGTGTAAATTGTTTAATACTGTTTTGACTGTGAAAATATAGAAAATGTTTGGTGGCCATTATGCTAATTATGACAATAGTAACAGTTTTACGCACATTCATATCATGTTACAATATCGTCCATCCAAGAACACATGTAGGAAATTAATTGGTTCATTAGGAATAATTGTACGGAAAGTTAGAACTGATCAATAACAGCTTGTGATCTTAAAAAAAAATCACAGACGATGACCCCCTCCCTAATTTCCTTGTAATTATGATACGCATCAGAACACTATAATGTACTAACAGTTACTGACAGATGTTTTAATCAGGTACTGTCTTGTAGCTAGAAAGTAAATTTTAGTTACTAACCTTACCGTTATTATCATCAAAAATAATCAATAATGTGAGATTATTTATGTTCAAGGGATAATATATACATCAAGAAATACTTTCACCCGTTAGAATTTTTATAATGGAATGATAGTTTGAGTTTATTTATTTATTCCTTTTGAAAGAAAAGAAAACAACTAACAAAATATCGAGAAACTAAACTAAACGAAATAATTTTGATAAGTTATCATTTTACGATTCGTTTAGATAAGTAATAGTATCGTAATGCATTATATATGTATTCATTGCCAAATTTCCCTATTTTACTACATTTATATGGTTTTGTTCACTTTAAAAATTTTCTCCTAAGTAAGTATTACCATCAAATTGTTAGAGCTGATCTAGTAATTAATAACTTGTATTCTTAAACATATTTCTAATTAAGACAGTTGTACAGATTCAAATAATCTTTAAGAAAAACATTAAATTTAATTTCAGGTAGTTTATTTATTGAATTTATGTATCTAAGTAAGAAGTGATCGGTTTTACTTCTCTTTTTTTGTTTTGCAAAAGAAACTTGTTAAGATACTTTGTGTTGAGAATTCTATATTGTAACAAAAATATAATATTGAATAAAGCCATTATTAAGAAAAAGAGAATCCAGCGCAGAAATTTTTCTTTTCGACGAAATCATTTAAGCTGTACATTCGTATACATAGTTATCTGGAAAATATATGTCTTTAGAAGAATAGAAAAGATTGTATCATAAAATGGATTCGAGACTAAATAACAAATCTGACCCATAAACTATTTTCTTCCTTACCACTTGATTAGTACGTAACCTCATTTGTTATTTAGTCTCGAATCCATTTTATAATGCAATCTTTTCTATCCTCCTATAGACATATATTTTCCAGATAACTATATATACGAATGTACAGCTTAAATAAATGATTTCATCGAAACGAAAATTTTCTTCGCCGAATTTGTTTTTTTCCTTATCCAATGACACTATGGGTTATTTTAAAGCCATTGATAATAATGATAATAATAAGGATAGTTAAGTCACAATAATTTTGTTTTGAGTGTAAATAATCGGAAATACCAAACAATTTATGTATGAATAAAGAAAAGACATTTGGAGGTTATATCGTGAAAATTCGGAAGAAAAAATCAACGAATAATTCACTTACTTCTTTCAACGGACACATTGGGAGTACTTGGTTGATTAAGGTAGATGAAGCTGCTTCGACTAGTTTCGCACTTAGATAAGAACCTTTAATTGTATTCGGCAGATTATCATCAATTATCTAACAAAATTTCACATGGAAAAACATAGTAATATATATATATATATATATATATATTATATATATATAACTTTTCTCATATTTAAAGCCTTTTGTGAAGTGATTTAATATATAGATTATATTCTTTAGAAGTTGATTCTAGTTGAGGGTACAGTTAAAAGTTAGGAAGCATTGGACAGTTAAGTTGACCAGAGCAATCATATACTTAGGATGAAACAACTGTCCAGTATCCATTGATTTCCAATAGATACCCCCAATTGTGACCAGTCTGTACGGAATATATACCCTAAATATTTTTTTCTATAGATTGTTGTAAAAATCTTATTTGTATGGATAAAACAATCCAGAAATTTTTTAATGATTTTCAGCCTAGAAAAGATAACAATACAGAAAGTTCAACTCTCTAGAAACCAAATACACTGATCTGTAGGTATCAATGCTAAGGTTGGACTTGATCGTTTCAAATAAATTTAGCATTGTTTAAGAAGTTAATAATAAATATATTTTTGTTATATCCCGATGAATAGAAAAATTGTATTTCCGACGTTTTGTGACTTAATGTAAGCCACTTCTTCAAAGTAAGTGAAAACACACTTATTTTCATATATCTATACAACTGAATGGTAACTTATCGTTGAACAGAGTTACAAGAATTCAGGTGAAATTTAACCACAAAAGAAGAGACAGTGTTTATCGACTGTATTAAATTAATATATTTGAATAATAAACACTTCATTGAAATCCGAAATTGAGAAAGATTTTCACCTAATAAATCAAACAAACTTCAATGACAAACAGCGGATTCAAGATGATTATTTTGTTTGCTTATTCGGTATAAACTTGATAATGTATATCAAGAAATCAAATGTATAGGGCTTTACATGAAATATATACGAATATACACAACCTTATGTTTAAAAATGGTAAGTAGTTACTTTCTAACTAGTTGATAAAAAGCAGTATTAAAGTTAAAGAGACATATCGTGCGATAATAATCATAGGTAATATAAAGCGTTGAACAACTGGAAGTGGTGTTTTAAATATGCAACCAGTTACTCAAACGGTAGCTGTCATCATGGATTAACATTACTTGAAGAATGAATGAGTGGGAAATATTTACAACTAAAAAGTACATCACACAGAATAGTGTTAAGAATCTCTATTGAAGCGCTACCATTCTGAAAATAAATTTTTAAAAAATACATTTCACACTTTCTAACATCAGTCTTTTTACAATATAACTGATCTGATAAACAATCTATAAGTCGATAATGGTCATTTAATCCATCTGTTTTCGATAAGTAAAACGCTGGAATTGAAGATTGTTCATTCGACATGTCTACGTGTACAATTCAATAGATCACTTCATTATTACTAATTGATTTAACTTCAAGAATACTAGAAGTAAACACACGCTACACGTGATAAATACCACTTGTTTGATTGGAAAATGTTAATTCAACAGGTATAGATACAAAACTTGCTCCACTTCATTTAGTTTATCCAGCCAGGTAGACAATTTATTAAACTTTAAATAAACAATAGAACTAAAAATCGAATAAATAAACTCTTTCATACTTGGCAAATGAATTACAATAAATTTCAAGATAAAATGAGATCTATTAATTGATGTTGAATTGAATAAAATTTCCCCTCTTTAAAATAATCAAAAGATACCCAATAGGCTAATCCAAAATATAATAGAGATGAATTTTTCATCACATGAACCTATTCTTCTATTATGATAGATTTTAGATAATAATTCAAGTAAATATGTATTGCCGATAATCTCTTTATAAGAGATTTAGTTCATAAATATACAAATTGTAGAATAATAATGTTCGATTGTTTATGAAGAAATTTCGAGAGAATTTCTTCCTTTCGTTAAACAATTAAACTCATAGTATGAATAGAATAGAAATTAATAATATATTAAAAGAATATAATAAGAAAGTATTAGATAGAAACAATTATGTAATGCTATTTGGTTTGGGATAATTTACAACTAAGGCTTAGAAATATTAAAACTATATCAATAATAATAATAAACTAACTTTTAGTAAATATCGTCCAATTGTTGGATTTTTAAAAAGTGTATGATGTAAACTGAATGATCGAGATAGTACATGTAATAGGACAACAATAGAATGCTAAATATATCGATGAGAGAAGGAAAATGAAAAAAAAATATAATCGTCTATCAATTGATAAAGGGAAATATTGATTTTTAAATTCATATAGATGTTGTATTAAAAGAAGACAAAGATGAAAACCGCTGTAAATAATTTACCCTATATATTTGGTCACATCTTTGTATGATTAAATAACAAATATAATGACCTATAAACATTTGAAACCTGTAAATACTACATCGAATTTACGCTGGTGTCGTGAACTGATGTGACAAATTAAAACAAACTATTATGCGAACTTATCTAACCTTCACATGTGCGATTGTAACGTTACTGGTTACATTGTATGCATGTCTATCTCCATTTACCTATATTATTATTTGTCTATTTTCAAATATAAACTGATTCATACTTAACTACGCGCCTTTTGACTCACAACAGTAAAAGGCCGCGCTACGTTTATTTATTCATTCTCACCGTGTCTAACATCATATGTTTTACATATGTACACCCGCAACCCTATTCGTATTCTATCTTTTATTTCTACGTTGTAATAACATGTTAATTAGCAAAAATATGAACAAAGTTAGCAAGAATATGTATTACATCAAATAGAGTAACCAAAGCAGTGAGGTCTTTGGTTAAAAAATATACACATTTGATCTACGGGTGATTAAACTCATTATTAATGAACTAATCTGTAAAACACAGGTGAATAGGAAGACTTAGAACTTGATTTATGCATTGATTTAAAAACACTGGTAAATTGTACTTTGTAGACCTGAGAAGACTTATACGCTATAACATAAAATATTCTGGAAACACACTTCACGATTGATGTGTTTGACATTGTTTTTATGAGTTTTCCAAGAAGACGATTCTTATTCTTTGCAAAGTTTATAACCGCAACTGATGTACTGAAATAGCTTATATGGCCTCTCGCCAAAATTTGAATAGAGCGTGATTTTAAAAGTGGCCGCCAACTACAAAAAAGTTATTATCTATCAAATATTATAGTTTGAAATCTCAGAAAGTGAGACTAAACAGTTTTAATGTTTCACTATACAATGTGATGCCAACTTCTTTAAGAAAACAACTAGAATGAAATCTTAAATCAAACAACACTCACTGTGCAAACATAAACAAGGTGCGAAAATAATTAAGCATTCATTGAGTGGAGAATAACTTCTGACTTTATATGCATTCGGTAATTTCGATTGTTTCCCTAAAGAAACTCAAATCTAATTGTCAGACGAAACGTTGAAACAATTTACTTTCAAACATCGTTATTGTTACAGACAAACTTTAATGCTGAATTCCCTTGATATTACGTAATTGGAGATGAAAATAAAGTAATCTAACAGTGAAATATCCAACTATCAAAACTTAAACAATATGAAATACCTACTAGTTAATGCATTTAACAATAAACATGCTCTATTAGACTCTAAAAATGTTGTTGAATAGTATATATTAAAATAAAGTGTAAGATGTCTTTTGTCGAACGAGGTAAGGTTAATGAATACGATACCACACATAATATTCGTTTTATTACAGTGAGTCAAATGTGGTGGATAACTGACATTTATATCATATCTATCGACTGATACAGTTAATCGCTAGTTAGCATTTAGTCAAAAAATCGTTCATATTTACTATGACGCTAAAGTAATCATAGTTTAGAATAACTGAATATAAATGAGTAAGGTTACCGAATGGAAAACATGAATTTCATACCTGAAATTGCAATACGAGATTTGCATTTTCACTACCCAATGGCTTTAAACGCATCGCAAAGTCTATAAGTTTTTTGCACATCGTTAGTTCGCCAACCTACAATATCAAAAGATGGGACAAAGAAAAGTGAGTTGAAAGGAGAAATTAAAACTACGTAGTAGTTTGTAAAACAAAAAAAGCAGACGTTCTAATCAACCCTAGTTACATAATTGTGGATTTATATATGTTTACCGAATAACTGAACTGGACACATCATATGTTATAAGTTTTGTCGGAGTAGGTGGGTTGATGATGAGTGACAAAATCTCAGTAGGAGAAGAGAAAAGGTCGACTGAATTTTAAAAACTTGTGTCACAATGGAGACAAGATATCTATTCGTTTATCAAGTGGAGTATACTGTGCAGAATTATGCAATGCATTCTTTTATCATTACCGCAAACCGATCTGAGTTAAGAGTCTATTGAAAATCAGGAAGCACAAGACGACTGTTTCGTCCTAGAGTAGCATATATTTACGACTCGACCACTGGGGGACCGGGCCCAAGACCCTAAGGCAATGACGTAAGGTCATAAAATAAACATGATGCTTATAGACTATTAACTAAACTATATCACAATTAAACGATAAAACATTAAGATGTAACGAATTAGATTTTGAAGTGAAATTGATGAGTGTTTTCTTCTTATTCTGAATTCATCAGTACAACCCATTTACATTTCAGTGTGCTGATATTCGGAATAAAACTCAGAATTCATAATCATTGCCTCATAACAATAAACGCTTATACATTAAATGACAACATCATAACTAATAATCGTTGTTATCATGATACACAATTTCTAGTTTTACATCAAAATACTTGCACACTGAGATCATATATATATCAAAACGTATGAATCCAGTTCAATATATACATTTGTAACACAATAGCACAATTCGTGATTACAATTAAATAAACCTTAAATATAAAAGTAGAAACAAAAAATCGAGAAGTCAGTTCAAATCATATTAGAGAAGACAAAAAGAATATATCAATCTTTGGTGCTATAAGAACATAGCAAAAAAACAATAAAATTAATTGAATGAATATAGCTTTAAGACATTAGAGATGTATCAAGCATTTATTGTCAAATATGATTCAATGTATGTAAGTTGCAAAACTATACTCTATAGGTATACTTTTTTCTCTCTAGTTAAACATGATTATATTAAAGGGAACAACACATAAGCAACATATGACAATAATGTTCTTGAATGTTAACAACACATACTCAAGTTTTCAAAGGTATCTAGATAGATAGGAATTATTTTCATAAAGTCATCATATGATTTTAAAAAATGGTTGGCTAAATATGATTACCATGAGATTGTTTAGAAATAACTTTTAACAGATTTGAATTTCTGTTAAACTTGAGTAATCTTTCCCCCATCTAGGGAGGTGAAGTTGTCTTTCTCCTAGTAGTCAATCAGTATTTCAAATGTATTTATCGGGAAAAGTTGTTTATTTAGTTCAGTATTCTTTGGTCTATAAAACAATATTTATCGTAGTTGGTGTTACGAATTTGATTCTGTTCAGTAATTAAAGAAGTGAAATTGACAGCAATTCACAGTACAGTCGAGATCTATCATCCTTCATTTACGATTTACATTTACTAAAGGTGGATATATTTCTTTATTTTTTAGGAAGGGAGGTACAGCAAGCTTCATTCAATCAAGCTAAAAAACATTATTCGATCTGTCTATTCATAATATAGCGATAAAATTGGAACATTGAGTAGATGAGCACAATGACCATAAAATTTCCTTAAAAATAGCCATTCTCTATACTGAGGGTGAATTACATATCAGCTATATGCAATTAGCAAATGTTTAACTCAGAATGTTTAGTAGCTCAAACAACAATCTAGGTAGATGACGATTAGATTAGACTGAACACGTGTTATAACTGTGAAAAATAATGCTGCGAATTATTGATCGGACCAAAGACGCACAAACACGTAGAACGGCCTAGGGTTCTGATTGGTCTCGCTTCCTTGTCTAACCCAGCCAGTTGAGTCCAGAACACAAGTTTCAGCCTCGGATTTATGAATCATTATACTTCAAACAACGTACCACAACGTACCATAAAATAGAAAATAACATTGTACAATAATGGCCAGTAGGAAAATGACACGTTAAACAAATATTGACCAATAAGATGATACCATTTCATGTCCAAGGATAGCATTAGGCTTAACAGGATAATTTTTGGGATATTTTCCTGAATATCTCAACAACACGACATTTTAATAACATAAAAACTATGAACTGATACGTCTTGTACTTGAGCGTATGGCACTGATTTTCCTAACCTCTTTTTAGTTCAATAATATTTCCAACAATTGAAATATGAACAAAAAATAAAAAGCCTGAACTAAGGAAAAAAGCTTCACTCTTAAATTTATTACCTATACATACAACATGGTTATTTGTAGAAACAAACTTGACCGTAAGATAATAGAAGCCTCTGAAAATTAACAATAACATAAAATTTAATTTTCGAAAAAGAAAAGAGAAAAACCAAATTCATCAAAACCATTCTTCAATTTATCACCACTTACAAGTATTCGAGTGGATTCATGCCCAGATGCCAGACAAGAAAATAATTTAACCAATGGAATTAAATGCTCCAAAAACTGTGTATGACTTTGCTGTATTATTTCGAAGTATAAACACATACACAAAAGAAATAAAAAACAGGGAATTATAATGTCATATTTGTAAAACATACTAATTAAGAACAATAACAATGATAATTTACCAGAATTTTTTGATGTAGGCCTTTCTCTCTTTGAATAGTGAAGCAGATCTATTACGTTTCCATAATTTCAAAGAAAAGAAAAGATGCAAAAGGAACTATGATCAAAGAAATAGCCTGTATAAAAATAGTTATATCACTATTATTATTATTATGACACCAATCCTTACAAAAGGCAGATAGTGCTTTGAGTAGAAAAAATACATGGACAATGATAATTAAAACTAAATATCCTAAAGATATCAATACACCGAATTAGATTGATGAGTCTAGGATCATAATATTACGATGTACATGTCGAGGAATATCACTACCCCTCACACAAAACATTAGGCTCAAAAGACGAATTAAATAAACTCACCTTTCACAAATAAGTAACAGTATTACCATTTCTCAACATTATCACCAACGTACAACAAATATGCTCATAAGTGTTTGTTGAAATGTGAATCTCATAATGAAAGCTTATTTGCTGTCTGCTTTAAAATAGTAATGTCCATCGTAAAAACCAATGGACAATAATTATATTGTGAGTAATTGGCGGTCCCCAAACGTTGGTGCTACCTTGAAGTGGTGGTCGGGCTTGCCTATCGTGATGAAGCAACCGAGCTATACTGGCTGGAACAACCGTTCCTCAAGGTCCTACCATGCCAGGCAGGTCGGTTGAAGAGCGGTAAAACTAAAAGCAACAAACCCAAGGTCCGAAGGCGAAGTCGTACTGCTGACTGTACAGAGGTGTGACAGCAGTAAGGTGTTTCCTTCAGACAACCAGCATGACAGTGATGCTGCTTTCCCAAAAGGAGGGGTGGGGTTAGAAAGGGTCGAGCCTGAAAATGCACACCTCGCCTTATCCCACGGATATCCGCCTCCGGCGGTAAGGTCTCAACAAGTACGAAGCTAACACAAAAATTACCCATAGAAAGGCCGTGCGCGACCGGCCTCAGGCAGTTGTCCCTTGGGCACTGCGGTCACGCTCTCAGGTCACTAAGACCACCACTAATCCAATTTCCTTTTCAGACACCTCCACAAGAACCCTTCCACAGTGTGGGTAACCGGGAAGTGATAACCGCCCTCATACCTCTAACAGCACTCAAGACCACTGTATTCATAATCAACCTTCCTCTTCAATTCCTATTATTCCTCCTACATCGACTTTCAACTCTAAACTTCCTTTTTCGGCTTCCCCCTCAAGTGTCACCACAGCCAATGATTCTAGTGTGCAAAACACTGTCCCAGGTCTACTGAAATCTCTCTCCAAACTACACATTGGAGCCTTCAACGTACGCACCCTATGTCAAATCGGTCAACAGGCTTTCTTGGCTAGAACCCTAGAATCTCGTACCATTGATGTATGCTGTGTCTCTGAAACACGCATACAAAATCCCAGTGTGGTCATTCACTTGACCTCACCTCGGCAACACGGAGAGCCAACGAGATACACCCTCTCGTGGACTGGCAGGAGTTGGCATAACACTAAGCATGAGGGCAGAACAGGCACTGTTAGAGTGGATCCCCGTTAACCGTCGTTTATGTCCTGTTTGGCTAAACGGCTACGTAAGAACTCCGAAAGATAGGGACACACGTCATTGTCTTTTTGTCGTTTCTGCCTACGCTCCCACCGACTGCAGCTCAGATGAAGTGAAAGATGAACTTTACAGAAAACTATCTGAGCTTCTTCAGAAAGCTAAACGTTCAGACATTGTACTCGTAGCAGGTGACTTTAATGCCCAGATAGGTAGTTTAAACCAAACAGAAAGGCATTTAGGTGGGTATTTTAGTATTCCGGCACAACGAACAGATAATGGTGATCGTCTGCTGCAACTGTGCTCAGAAAACCGTTTATTTTTAGCAAACACTAATTTGAAGCATAAATAGAGATATCGTCTAACATGGCGACCCACTACACCAAACTAACGATGGACTCAAATAGACCATATTGCCATCAGTCATCGTTGGAGAGGGTCAGAAGAAGATTGGCGCTCATTCTGGAGTACCTGTTTGGACTCTGACCACGCCCTAATACGGGCACGCATCTGCTTGCGCCTCACTGGACGCAAAAAAGCCACATTAAAAAGACCAATTAGAACTGAGTTGAGTAACGAGAAAACCAAAAGTAGGTTCCAGGAACAACTGAAGTCACACTTAGGTGGTCCTGAAAACGAGGTTGACCCAGATGTTGCTTGGAAAGATATACAAACAGCAGTGACATCTATCAGTGATTTAAACCACAAGGTTACAAAGAACCAATGGATTTCCTCAAGGTCTATTGTACTGATGGATTCTCGTAAACTCATCCCATCAGGTTCTGAACACGATGAAGAGCGACAACAAATCAGATCTAGGTCAACCGAAAGTCTAAGGAACAACTGTGAGCAGTGGTGGGCAACGAAGGCAAAAGAGATGGAAAAGGCGGCGGCTATAGGGAACACAAGACAGCTTTACAGACTAATAAAAGAAACTGGAACTAATAAGTCAAGTGTAAGTCAGACTATTTCGGAAAAAGACGACACCCTCATCTGCTCTCAGTCCAGACGTTTAGAATGATTGTCGGAACATTTCAACTGGCCTTCAGCTACTCTACAACTACCCTCCATTCCCAGACAGTGTGAATGAAATATTGAAGCAGGTCCCCCAAGTCTAGCAGAAGTTCAAAAGGCTATAGGTAATCTGAAGCGAGGAAGGGTAGCTGGTCCAGATGGATTGGCTTCAGAGGTCTTTAGGGATGGTGGTCCAGTTTTAGCCTGGACTCTGAAAAAAAGCTGATTGGTTTGGTTTGTTGTTAACTTCAATAAATTATAGGGCTCCACTATCCTTCATCAATTGAAATTGATACAGACAATTTTATTATTTAGAATGACAATGTAATACACTTTGAAAATTATTTACAAATTAAGGAACTCAATAAAACTACTAGTTACCTATAAAGATACAATTATCAAACTATTACACGTAAACTAATTAAATACATTAAAGTATTTAAATGAAAATGTAAAACATACAGTATCAGATGCTTCTTGAACAGCTTTTAATAAAGATGTAACACGATAGTCTACTTCACGTACAAACGAATTAGTATATACAGTCCACATATGCAATTCTGGACTTTTATCCAAAACAAGAACTAGAACATGGCATACCCATGTCATTATACGTGTTGCTTCTAAATGAAGACAACTTTCTGTAAGTGGCTGAATGATCTGAATAGAAAACAAAAATGGAAATTACAAGGCATTTATGTAAAAAAAAATACAAGTTTATTCTGTGATAGCACACGTTATAGAGAAAAAAGTAAATATCAACATATTGTAAAAATTCATTTTAATACGATAAAGACATTGAAAATTTACACTAAGAAAGTATATATGAGATTTTATGAAATAACCACTATTTTATTGGTAGCAAATATTTACTAGTATAACAAATATACAATGTAACTCAGCAATCAATCTTAGGTTTATAAGCCCTGTTACGAAATCTGTAGTCAAATAATTGAGAGCGTATATACATTAACTAAAAAGCCATCCATTCATGTGAGCATGGAACTTGAATGTTAAACACCATAGAATATTTTTCTTAAAAAATGCATTTTCCAGTTATCTGATAACCAGACTAATCTTAAATGACTCTTACAATGTATATGGAACAAATAGTAGCTGTGAATATAATATTTTATCCAAAGATTATTATTGACTTATAACTATGTGTAATAACATCTGAAACCAATAATTCATTTGAATAAGATTGACTTTATACTAACTAGAAGTCTGTATACTCACTTTATGAACCATGTTTACTGTAAAGTATAATATAGTACTACACTTATATGTGACATGTTACTGATTGAAAACTAAACGTATAAATAAACGGAGTCACTAGCTGTACTGTAGAATAGGAATAAATCATTAAGAATTATCAAACAAATAGATAAACATATCAAACTAGAACGGAGTATAAAGTTCAATCTTGAAGTTTATATCTCTCTTATTCAAACAATCAAGGACCGTATCAAATAATACCATGCATTGGTCTGATTGCCCTTAACGTTCTTCAGTGTAATTCTATCTTCGTTACCATAGCCACTCCTAATGTTGCACGTTCATAACTTCATTGACTAGATTTAACATCGTTTGTTTAAACATTTTGTCCAGCCTAACATATGTGTACTTTGTTGCCTTATTAAACATGTGCGATGGTATAACTCATAGTCTACTTATCCAATCACAATAATTCACACGAGAAGAAAAAACAAAAAAAACATTGAAATCTTACTAATAACGTCTATCTAACTACCAACAAGTTTTATCACAGAAAACAAAACATGAGATGAAGGAATACGAAATTGTACATCGTATTTAGTGTTTTTAAATCTAAGATTAAGTTTTATGTCCATATGATTTCAAAAGGAAATTACGTGAATAATGCTAGTACTCAGGTGAATTTTTTAACTTACATAAATATATTTCCTTTGAAAAAAACACTTACTAATAAAGCAATATCATCCCCAGTAATTCCTAGACCAGCAGAAGTGATTACATGAGTTCCGAATTGATCTATCGCCTCAACTGTCTGTGAATTAGCATACTGATTAGCTAAACGCCAATAAATTAAACCACGAAGTAGACCAGTGAGAGCAAACGTCCCATGGTCTAATGGTACACAAGAACACGTTGAAATAGTTATACGACTATCAACAGGACATGATGATCCTGATTGTCTGTCAGTCGATGCAGTTGAATCAACAGAGTTCTGATGAAATTTTCGAGATGCATCTTCAAGATTAGATTCATTGGGAGATGTAAAAATGACAGTAGATGTACCTGATGAGGTATCATGGTTGATAGGAGTATTATTAGTAGAATAAGTTGATGGGATATTACCACTAAGAACTCGCTTGGTACGTTGATAACGCGGTGTTGAATAGCAAACATTAGGTAATACTGGAGGCATAGTTCCTGTTAAATGACTATAACAGGCAACTAATTTAATCGGTTCTTCTTCATTGTAAACTAAATATTAAGATAAAATAAAATTCATGATAGGAAGTGAAACCACACATGAAAAGGATGGTAAAACGTAGCTTATACATGAAACAATTTCATGCAATAAATTCACATTAAAAACAACTTATGTCAGTAATGAATAGTTATGCTTTGAGAAGTAGAAATCGAAGAAAAAGTCAAGGGATTTTCATATTGCAATTATGCAGTAACTAAGTAGGTTACGAATTTATTTACAGTAAAAATGCATTTCATGACTGATGAACACCGAAATAAACACACACACACATCAAATCATACTTATGAAAATCTATTTTTGGCGTATAGTATGGCCCAAACTTTTGACATCTGTCTTTTTGGAAAATAGGTAATAAAGAAGTTTTGTACCGAGATAGACCTAATCGTTGCTTCTACTTCGACGTGGTGGTCAGGCTTGCCTATCATGATGAACTAATCGGACTATACTGGCTAGAACAATCTTTCATCAAGGTCCTACTGTAGTGAAGGAGAACACAGGTGAGGACAACCGAACTACATTTAGCATAACATTACATAGTTACTTGCTAAAATAGAAAAACCATACTATAATACTTAATTTGCAAAATGTCCAATAATTGTTTCGGACTTCATTGTTCTTGCATTTCTATACTAATTGCTTTCTATTCCGGTTCTTCCTTTCTTGATCTTCCCAATCTTCTGCTGCCATACATTATATTCCTGACTCGCATTATATACTACTTATGTCAATATAAGTAGCACACACCACACTACCATGCCAGGCAGTCAGTTGAAGGGCGGTAAGACTAAAAGGCAGCAAACCTAAGGTTCGAGGACTATCGTAACCAGTAGTTGGACTATTGGTGACATGGTTCAGAATCGACCACAATGGTGTAGGTGTATACACTATTTGTCTTCCCATAAACCATGAGATAAAATTAATTTATACCCTTCCTTTCTACGAACGAATTCTTTCTCCCTGTATTATATCCTTATATGCAATTGTTTTTTTTATATGTTACAACTGAAGTAATTACATCTATGAATTCGATGTTAATATTGTTGTGCTAATGAGGCATGGTAATTTTGACCGACGCATATGTGCCTGGTCTTACGTTGTAGATGACTGACTGACTGAGATACAGGCAATCGAAATTCCAATCACATTTTTTTCAGTTCAGAGACTTATCTATTTAATGGATCAATAGGCGTAATTAAATCTTAGCGTGTTACACTCTTTGCTATAATTAAAGTACATGCTAATTACGGGGAATTTAATTATGTAGCAGAGATTTATCAAAGACGATTAAAATTACAACTCATTTGAAACAAGTAATTGTGATCAAATTTTGTAATGAGTTAAATTTTTTCCTTCTAGACAAGAGATGGGTGTGAAAAGCTAATCCTAGAGACGATAGATTGAGACAGAATATACTTTATCTGCCTCAACGTTATCCATGGATTGTGAAAACGGTACTAGGTGGCTTGAAATTGTGCACTGCCAAGTAGTGCGGTACTAGAACGAAACAGTTGTCTAGTACTTCCAGGCTTTCAGCGATTGTTTAACATCAGTTTTTGATGAGAACTTAGAGTTAAGAATATCAACAAAAACCTTATAAAGTAACAGCAATCAAGTGCTCACTAGTGACTGATTTTGTGAGGTAGTTCCCGGAATTTTTGGAGGAAGTCATGAATAGTGCCATTTAACCACGCTGGGTGTGGGGCAATTACATACCAATTATATTGGAAGATGGTCGGGTAGTATCGCAATCCAACTGAAATTAAACATGTAAACCACTGGATGTCATCGCAATGGTCTAAAGGTTAAGGGTTCGCCGCAAGATTTAGAGGTTCCGGATCCAATCCCTAATTAAGTCGAAGCGCACTTTTGGTGAGTCATATACCAGGAAGAAATAATTACCCAGTACCCCCTGGTTTTCAGTAGTCGTTTTATTAAGATCAGTTCGTGATGTAAGCCTATAAAAATGATAATAAAAGTAACTATGAATATCAGCCCCGCTAGTGTCATATGAAAGCCAATCATTGAATTATTCTAATTATAATTTAAAGAATAACTGATGACAGTTTCACATATCATTGTGCTAACTCTTTAAAAGTTTTGAAAAAATGCATTCGAAATGGGATAGGATAACAAATCGTGAAGTATGATTTAAAAGCAAAAGTCGACATTTTACTTAGAAGGTATTTTATACTTTCTGTGATAAATATGAATCAACCAATAAAGATATATACGAGATTAATAAATTGGAATCAGTCAACATCATTAATAATATTATCGAATGGTAGGTAACGTTTAGAGGTATGAGGAAACTTAATGGTAATGTGTGTAGAGGTAAAACGATAAAAGATGGCAGTATTCCCAATAATAAGAACGAAAATATTGCAAGGTAAAGTCATACATCTTGTATAACATCCAGGAAAGAAAAAGTGGTTTATTTCGGGAGCTTTGCAATGAACAGCTTTTAGTTGAGATTCTTTTTTAAAAAAGACATTACAGTCAGCTGTGCTATATGTAGTGGTTGATATTAATGTACCAAGACATATAAACACTGAAGCTTAAAAAATGTTGGTTTTCTACTCTGAGCATCAATCAGCGACCTTCTCTATGCAGTTAGATATCAAACTGAAGAGAGAGTGAGAGCATTTTGTTCTTCCTTACAAACTAGGATGACTATTTTGACGAAATTACATTCAGATCCCAAACTCTAGCCACTATCTCAGTGATAAAACGAAATCATCGTCGCTGTATATCTTTGGGGTAAACCAAGCAAGTCCTGCAGGTGTATTGAAGTGGCAATCAGCCAGTCGAAATAAACTTTTAGTGCTGCATTAGAAACAATTGCAAATAGGTCAACATTTCAGTAATATTGAGTAAAAATTTAATTTTTAGTGAAACTCGAGAATTTCGTTAAAGTGAATTAAACAGAAAAAACACTACCGTAGATAATAATAATAATAATAATAATAGTTAATAATAATAATAAAGATACGTTTATTAATGGATAATAATAGAATCTATTAATAATATACAAAGAACATTGGTTAAATGAACAAGAAAATTTTTAAGTTCCAAAGCAGAAGTAAAACAACGGCATGTCTATTAAAGCAGGCTTACTTTTTTTAAATGAATCTAATGCATTTGGTAAATGGAAAAATAGATGTAACATCAATTTCAGTGAAAATCTAGCAGCCTGAAAAAAAGGGAATTATAAATGAAATGATTGATTATGAGAGTAACAATATCAATATGATATAAGTATTAATTGACAAAATTACTAGAAGCATGGAGTTGATCAAACTAATAGTTTATTCAGAGAACTAATATACAAACGCTAATTGAATAGCTATTAGAAGATAAATTATCAACTGAATAAATGTATATAAGGATTAAAAATATCATTTTAATACAAAATATTTTATCAATATATAGTGTGATTGACTTATTAAGTAGGAAATTACTAATATTAATAAATTTATCAAGTGTAGCTTCTCGACAGCACCAGGGTTTTAATATAATTAGGTTGCAGATGCCAATTTTGTTACATCTACTTCTGTTTGTGTAAAAGACTAGTGTTTTAAACTCTTAAACACAAACGTGGCTACACTAAAAGCATTTTTTGAAGATGGGTACATAGATCTTCACATGGCTACTCAGTAACGAGGATAATTAAACTATCATAGAACCTCCTCTTGGATTAATCTGTCTTCAGTGGGTGTATATTATTATCTTTTACAATATTATAACTCGAAATAGAACAATTACCAAATATTGACGAATTAAATCAAATATGTATGTCATTATCACTCCAAAAGATCATTTGAAATTATTTAGACATCAGCAATCAGTGCATTAATTCACGAAGGAAAATTCTGATGAAGCTTGAATAAATAGTCTATTTTGCACTGCATGATTTAATGACGTTAGTGTTGGGAGAATAAGCAAATGCAAATCATACATCATTAACTACTATTAACAGATTAAACTTTATTTGAATATCAAAGTTGTAAGATACAGTAAGCAGAAGAGTGTAGGGTGTGTATCAAAAAAGTGTCAGTAAATTTGCAATTTGCACGATGTAACAAGAATCAAACTACCAGGATAACTACAAATTTATTGAAAACAAAACTGTACCAAGGTATATTTCATACATAACTCTACACCATACTGAAATATTCAGAAATGATACTTATGTCAATATTATTTATATATACATAGAATAGTTTAATGGTGGGATAAATATTGCCAGTAGCATGTTAAATTAACTAGGATGAGTTAACAAAATAATTCCTTGTTCATGGTACATGGATATGATACATGGTTTATTATCTGACCTATGAAGGGAAACTATGATTTGAATTAGGAATTTACTATACTTAGTAGTGGGAGTACTATACTACACTTTCATGAATAATTTCAATTATACCAGCTGTTCCCTAATTCAATATACTTTTGAACGAAGCATATACTTGGATATATCAAAAGAAAAATAGCCAATCTCTACTATTTCTTTATTAAGATATGTTAACGCAAGCTACCATACTCGAAACAACTAACTAATATAAGTAGCCTGTTTCCATATAAAATATCTAGAAATATTAGAGATGATAGATTGATTACTAACTTCATGTTGAGTAGAAATACAACTGAAACAATTAATAAATGTTAAGTGTGATACTTCCATAGAAAATCTTACCAAAACTTACTGCTTAACTGAACAATAACTATTGTCATACAATGTAAGATAGTTATTATGCATCTTAATTTTCTTAGTGAATATATTTTGGGTGGATAATAATAATAATAAAGTGTAGCAAAGAAACAGGAGTAAGAGAAAGGGGATATAGAGAATCATCAACCACATACCAGTTGGTTACTTGGACTAATAGTACGATTACAACCAATACGATTGCATAGAGTTTTTCCTCGATCCATTGAGTTTGATTTGGGTTGATCACCTGACCAGAGGCGATGCCTACATGAAATGAACATAATGATTTGATGGCACAAATTCAATGCACCGCATCGATGAAGACGTTCAGCTAGTTCACAGCTCGTAGATAATACGGATAAAATTTCTATAAGTGAGCATCTAGCGTTTGCTGTTAATACAAGGGCAGATTGATTGGATGATAAGACCAAATTGTTGCTATTGTTGGTGGTGGTGCACTCCGAAATTGTATCGGGAAAACTGAATAAAAGTGAATTGATCAATACTTGTAATGTCGCTTCTGTGAAAAGTTCCTTCAGATTAACAAAGAAAAAAGATCAATAACTTGGATTTCATATAGATAACAGAATATAAAGTATTATAGGCAAAGATAAATAGTAGTTAGCAGTGGAATCCAGGACGCGCGTTCCGTCCTATTTGGGACTCGTCAGCTGGATGTACCTGCATCTCAGAGTTGATGTCCACTCTGAGACTCGAACTCAGTACCGTTCACTTCATATACCATCGCGTTATCCACTTAGCTACTGGATCCTGATAGCCACTTGCTTGTCTAGTGAGGTGAAGTTTAAATTCACTTTGTATTGTTTACTTGAATTTTCCCATTGATGTTTAGAACTGCAATTGATCACTCTCTTATTGCCATATGTGCATACTGTGAGTATTGCCTTAATTCACAAGCATTATAAGCAAAGATGGATAGTGGCTAGCAGTAGAATCCAGGACGCGCGTTTCAACTGCAGTCCTAAACATTAGTGGGAAGATTGAAGTAAACATTACCATGTGAATTTAGAATACAAATTACTGTAATAACAGATTGTACGCAATGAAGGTTAGTTATATATTAATAAGCAGGTTAATTAGATAATAAGATTTTGGACTATATATATATAAACATGATGATACTGTAGTGAACACGAACACCAGTGGGGACAATCGAATGTGTTTAACACAGAATTACAGGACTTGTTAATAAAATCTAACAATCATATAGTAAATGCTTAATTTGCAAAATATCCACCAATTGTCTCAAAATGACTCAGGCTTCATTGTTCTTGCATTTTCATACAAATTGCATTCTGTTTCCGTTCTTTACTGTTCGATCCTCTTGTCTCTCTGCTGCCAGACCTTCTGTTCATGACTACCATCACATACTACCTATGTCAATATAAGTAGCACACAACACAATACAACAGAAAGATTATAACACAAAGTATGCAGTGCGAACAATAATAAGAAAAGACTATGTAAAATTAACTTACGATAGCAATTTTTTCTCGAGGTGATTGTACAACTACTGAACCCAAGTCTCCAGCTCTGAAAAGACTACGCAGGAATAATAAATCTGCTTCACGAACCATTGGATCTGTTTTCTCACTTAAAATTACTATATATATAAAAAGAGGAAAAGAATAAGGCAAGACAAAAGATATTGAACCTGCATCATTTTATTTAAACCAAGTAATTAGTCCTTTTTATAAATTTTGATAGAACTCCGTTTTCTTATTGTTCTATCAAAATTTAGTGACCGTTCGGAATAAGAATAAGGAGGTACCTCCTTATACTAGTTTAAACTGTAGTCAATACACAATGATATATATACATATATGCTACAGATCTTATTAATTTAATGCAAGTGATCATCTTTGCAGGATATTAACGTTACTGAATTAGATCGGTGATGTAAGGAATGTTATCCTTTTTAAGACCTAATCTACAACAGGTTACATGTCACAGGATAATGACCAAATGATATATGAATATTCATTAGTTTACAAAATATCATAATTTCGATGTAAAATAAATTCATTATATACTGAGACTTCTCTGAAACTATAATGAACTTATAATATAAACAGGAAATAATGAATTTTAAACTGTAGGTTGTTACATTGATCCCAACAAACAGCAATGATATTTGTTACATTTAGATGGCAAAACAAGACATCGATATTACAATAATTCATGGATGGAAAACTCCTTTATTGAATATCGCATGACCACTTTTTTTTCCTTTTCATCAAAAGTTATTTTAGGTTATACATATTTCTTAACTTTATTAATTGATTATATATTTGTGGTTATTTTAGTTTACGGGAGACTAAGAAATTGAATGAATTCATGTTGTTCTGTACACGACATTATTCTAATTATCATCAAAATGATTAAACGAACTAAAAGGTGTATAAAGTTAAACTCTAAGTTTCATTAACTATGTAATAATGAAACTGAAAGATGATTGATCACTGAGCGTGGACAAACAGGTAATTAGCCTACTAAATATTAAATATATGATTTTCTTTTCTTTCATTGATTTCTACTGTGAAGTCACTGAGGCTGACTGCTTTTAATTCTGTTGAATGAAGTAAGACGGAGGTTGGAGGTAGTCAACAGAAACCAACATCTTATCTTAACATAGTGCACGCTATATCGAGTCACCTAGACTAATGGCCACATTGTAACTTGGTCGATAGGATTCGATCTGCACTAAGAAGGACCTGACATACATTGACTACCACCCAGTGATCAATCAATTGTTAAATAAAGTATTATCTAGTCTATACTCTAGTTCTCTATTATGGGTCGTGAATCCTGGTTATGATATAAGTGACTAGTTTTATTATTGTATTAACGTATTATCGTAGTATACTTGAGAGAGAGAAATATTCTAAACAATCCTTTACATGAATCTACCATCCTGAAACCCTTTCCTGGCTTTCTATTGATTTAATAAACATCATTTTAGAAAGAACTAAAGATAATTCAGCGAAGAAAATGTCATCTACTTAAGCTGTACAATCTTATTTATGGTAAACTATTTAAATAAATAACAGATATAAATAGGATATGACTAAATCCATTTTAGTCTGTAAACCGAAGTCATCCAAAGTCTCTACTACACCTTGTCATGGCACCCGTGAACCATTAGTTACACTCATACTTAAAAAGTATCAATAATAAACATAAATTCATACATAAATGGTAAACTTTTTTTCACATATTTCAAAATATAAGCATACTACACATACAAATAATATAAATTTACAAACAGATGTACCAAATACTTCTTATTACAGGTATAGTACTTAAGTAATTATTACAAAATAGTACATTAAGTAGAAATTGCCTTGAAGAGATATAAAAGGACAGATAAAATGTAAGATTTTGTCTATTGAATTATTCAACTAACAGCTTTTTAGAAAATCGGATTAATACATTCAATATTTTACAGAAATAATCTCATTAATCTGTCTTATAAATAATATCTAATAATAAAAAAGGTAGGGTTAGGCTTATCATAAGTAAGTTAGCACTGTTACAATAAGTTTCCAAATTATTTTCTCACTTTGATTCAGTATTTTCCACACCACTAAAAGGAGTAATCATTAGATTTATACAACTATTATATAGTCAAGTAAATACTGTACTACTTTTCTGTTAAGGGCTTATACGCAACAGTGTATGTGGTAGATGTGTGTGGGCAAGAGAAAGAGAGAGAGTAGACAAAAAGTATACTGACTGTTACTATAAAAAGGGATTTATTTAATCTCGGTGAAATGCATGCATATATAGTCAACAAAATTCGAATGACATAAACATGTATCCTGGAGCCTATTATATATATGATATAATATGCAGCATGCTTTAAGAAGGCAATGTTTGAAAATAGTTTGTTTAGTTTATTTTAACAATTAGAGAAAATGAGGAAACATTAATAATTTGTTTTACTTTGCCTTGATAGACACGATAGTTTTTATTTTAAAGTGGACACTAGGAGTTCTATATTTCGTCAGCAAGGTATGAATATTAAATCACTAGAATAGAATTCGATGGATAGTATTTTTTTAACTTCATTCGATTCATGAAACACAATTTAACTTTCTTTCATGCATTCAGTGAGCCATGTACGTTAGCAGAGAAATGATGCATGACACAAATATCATTTGGTTCCTATCTTTCTAAGACAAGTCAATAATGTAGAATACACGCTGATGTACACTATCAAATACACACTTTTTTTTCAGTTTGCCTCTCCGAATTTTCTAAATATTACAAAATAGCGAAAACTACTTCTGGACAAAACAAATTCCCTAAATTAACTTGAATGATATCAATTATCTATTAACAAATAGCTTACAACAACATGAATAATAAATTAAAACTACTTGTCTGTTTTAAGTAACAGGAGACACTGTGCATACTAGCGATAATTTCTAACTTCAGTCATATATAATAAGTAATTATTAAGTAATATTAGAAAAACATCAATAAAATGGTGAAGCAGTTATTCGCACTTGTCATTTCATAATAGCCTCCTCTTTCTTTTACATTTTTTTCCACTTTGTTAGCCTATTCATAAGTGTAACCAACTTATAAAGTGTTATTTACGGGTGAAAATGAACAACATCCCTAATCATTATCATTTTGATGTGCTTTAAAAACACTACAATTATAAAAGCTGACGCAATGAATAATAATAATAATAATAGCTTACAATTCATGAAATTAGTCAAAAGTTCCGGGTGATTAAGAATATCCTCTGACAATGAAGAACAATCTCGAACTAGACTGTTGACCAAGCCAAATAAGTCAATACATACATTGATATGTGTGGCAGACCATTGATTTAAACGACCAAGTGAATTGAGCAACCTGAAATGTATGATAATGAAAAATGAATAAGCATAGAGTTGAAAAAGTAAAAGTAAATGAGAAATAAAAGCACGAATAAAAGTAGAGTGAAGCTAGGAAAAGAAAAAATGTAAAATTCCTCTAATAATTATTTATTCGACAAATTCATATACTTTAAATAGGTTACGATACAAACTTAGTTTAATGACTACAAGCCATATTCGATGTATCAACGATTCATTGTTTTGTGCTTTATTATCATTTATTATTGTAACATAAATGTCCTTAATATGTAATTCTTGAGATCTCTTCAATTAATTATATTTTTTGATCACACAATTCTGATGTATGAATGGAGTTATGACTTTACGAACTAAAAAATTGGCTTTCAAATCAAGTAAAGCATGATCAACTTAGATTCAACTTACATCAATTCAAAGAGATCGACAATCAGTAATCTAACAATGCATGCTGCTGAAAGATGAGTATATCGATATACATTCAACTACTGAGTTACATTAGTGCTATTACATACAGTGTGAAACATAATCATGAAGGTTTGTAGCCATCAGTTTTACATTAGATCGTTTCTGATTACAGCTTTGAAAGACAAATGTTATTAATGTTGTGTACCCTGAGATGAAAAATTAGTCGCGAAGCTCTCACCACCATCTTAAACGACATCATCAGCAAGATCTTAGAGAAAAGTATTGTAAACATTACTCCACAAGTGAATAAAAGATTGTCTTATTAATATGATTTTTAACTAGTCGAAACTAATAATTGTCCTGTCATTGATTAAACATTCATTTTTATTGCTTTTTCCATTAAAAAAAAACTTCAAACTAAAAGAAGATTACTTCTTGACATAAACGAAGAGTACATGATTTGATTTTAAAGGAATTTAAATCTAAATGACATGTAAAATAATTCATGATCAGATAAAATTACTACAATTATTCATTGTGAACGCATCTTTTATTAGCACAAAAATTTATATCATATCAATGTTCAATTGACGGTTACATAGACATCAGTTAACAAACTACAAACAACAGTAGAACTTCCAGAGAACTTTGCAACAGCGATAGTAATTATCTAGTACGAAATCAGGTTTCGTGCTCTTAAAATTGTGTATTAGATGTTTTATGCATTCAGACTTTGATCTGTCGTAAAGTCAGCTTGAGTTCCATTGATAGTTTAAGCTAATAAGAATTGTCTTCGGAAAAACAAACCAAACCAACAGCCTTGAGTGATTCTAAGAGTGATCTTGCGGTTAATCCTAATATCCTAAGCCCTGACGTCATAATCTTAACAATCAGAATGCAGGTTGTTTAAACGACTACCATTCCCAAAGCAGTGGTGTTTATCTAATAAATTCAATTATCAAAAACATCCGTTGCACTTTTAGTCTCGGTCTCCCAAAAAAGTGCCATTTGTAGTAAACTTGCTTCCCCCTTTGGATCCCATATCTTACCTGAATATCATTTACTGCCCATAGAAATACATAAGATGCTATTCCCCAATTGTCCGAGGTTCTGTAAGTGACTGACGATCATATTACAAATCAAATTAATTAAATTAAGAAATCTGATCAAAAACATAGTTTCCTATATCAGACTATCGACATTTGTACCTCAGAAATCACGTTTCAGTTCTAGAATTGCGATATTCATTCCGACTGTCAGTTGCTTTTCGTCTCAAAACCATCAGCATAGTTTATTTCCAAATTTTCTAATTGTCAGCACATCATGTATGTCTGTAAACTTAATTATTAAATTTATGGCTGGTTATTTTTTGTCAATATTACTGTTTCGTTTGTGATCCCATAGTTTTGTCAACAAGATCTACTACCTTTGCTTTTGGAAACTCAATATTCTTAAACTTGAAAAAGAAGTTGCTTACTTATTGGCTCTGAAGATAGAGGTTAATACTCATGGAATATACTCTTTCCTTGCCACTGGATAATCAACGTTCAGTTGTAAAATAAGAATATATATCATTATATACCAATAAATATTCACACTCACCGAGGACGAAGAACAGAGCTATTTCCAACAACCAGCTTGTTCATTACACTAGCCACAACGAATTGACGAAGAATCCTGTTATAGTCAACAAATAACGCAAAACAATTAAAATTATGTAAATGTCTATGATAAATAATCGTAGAAGTAATGGATTAATTTTATGTAGAAAAAGGTTACTAGCCATCCAGAAATTCTAGTAAAAACGATATCTATTAGGAAAGCTAGGAATTGCATGGAATCGGTACCCGTCACTAAACGAAACTTGGTGAGAATTAAAATTTCTGTAGAATACGATTAATTCACTGTATTTTTTGGCTTCTTATGGTTTTTACGCAAGCTTATGTAGTTCGGGATAGTATATTTAGCTGATGAGTTCATACAACCCGATGCTTTCAGGCAAGACAATCAAATTTCGTTTTTACAGATTGACTACTTACAAGTAACATATATTTCAAAACAAAATTAATCTGATAACATTATCAGAGCCACCTTGCACTGAGGATAATGAGTCGTTGATAAACTTCTTTTTTCCAACTCTCTCCAGAAAAATTTAGGCGAAAGACATTTCACAAGATAAGAACTCTGTTAAAAACATAGGATACAATATAGACACCTAACATTTTTACATAAGGAATTATGTAATTTTTTTGAAACATGTCAAACAGGACATAGAAGTTAAAGCAAGTTGATTACAAATTCCAGTGTTAAAAGCAACAAGATAGAAAAACAGTACGAGATGATGTCAAATAAAGTCAAATTCTGACTCCTAAAAAGTAGGATAAGAAATTTTTTGTTCGAAACTCGACGTTTTTGGTAACTATCAGCAGTTATATCTCATAGCATCGTAATAGAACTGAGTATAATGAAGAGCTTGAAGATTTTTGATATATAGTAGGATTCCTTTAGCAATATATTGAACATGCTAGTATTAGTTATACGAAATGGTAGACACGAAAACATTTCACTTTTTAGTGCTAAATTACGATATTCAAACCAGTCCAAATATCACTCTAGATTTGACAAGCTTGAAATCATCTTAAGTATTGATCCATACTTAAATAAAACTTAAACGACCTTAGAGTCTGTGGCTAGCAAATATATTATCTATAACCCACAATTCGACTACGGTTTTCGAATAGAAACTGTATCTGATAGGCCAGAATAACAAGTTGAGTGTGAACCATGCGTCACGGATAGTTCAGATGAAGGCTCCCACAATTTAATTTAATTAAAGACATAGAGAAAGTGATAGTTCTGTTCAAAACTACCATTAGTTATTTAGGGATCAACTATGTAATACCGTTGTAGGGTTAGAAAATGTTTGAAATAGAACTCTAGTAACTACAAATATGTTTCATAATATGAATGAACATCTGGTATGTCCGCTACTGGAATTAGAATCTTTGGATTTTAAGAATCATATAAACAAAGTTATTTTCTTTGGTGGTAAACACAATCTTAACAGTCGAGAATGACACTCAATTGAAACATTAGTGAAATTATCCCATAAAGAATCGTATATTTAACCTTAAGAAAGAAACCCATTAGAAGCTGATATTTTATCCAAACTTAACTCTGCCATATCATTTTCGGCGGTACTTGAGGTTAAATGACATATCTTCATTTACACTTCAGGCTGTGACCAGGTGCTAGGCAGGTAAAATTTAATCTAATCTGAGTCGAACTGGTATTCAAAGTGTTCTTCACATAAATTCAATGAACTGATCTGAAAATGCACTCAACCTTCAGCCATTAGGTTGCAGTTTTGAACCCCATCCTAATTGTCTTAATTCGAACAATAAATTAGTCTTCACGTAAAAAGTATGGCATCAAATAGAGCAGAAAAATTTTTATTTGGCTAATAAGTTGAGTTATATATTTTATTAATTTTAATAACCCCCGTTCAAAACCGATTTGCAAACATGGAACAAAGAGTCCTTTTTTGATTAGGTAGACGATTAAATGGTGTTTATTGCTATAGAGAAGGGATGTTTGTGGTCAGGTTAAATGAAAAGTATGAGGTAATATAACTACGTAATGGAGTAAGTTGTAAAACATATTTTATTATTTTAAAAAACCCTAACATTCTGAAAGCGACTGTTAAAGAATATCCTAACAGTTTTATTAACAGCTCCTTAGTAAGAAACAAAAACCTACAAAACCTAATTGTATTCCACAGAAGGACTGAGAGAGTCTTAAATTTTAAAGATAAGTGTTTTCGATCAAGTTATTGCAAAGATCAACTGGACCTGTACGTGTTAACTTTCAGTAAATATAACTGAAACAATATGATAGAGGTTGAAATCAATATGTATACAATAGGATTTAGCACGTGTTTATGCGTGCATAAGATACAAATATCTATCTATATCTATCTAGATACCACGTGAATAACTTATTTTTTCGACAAATCATGTAAACAAGCAGACAATATATAAAAGCAAATCCTTTTAATCAATAGATGCACTATAAAGTGAAAATTAAATCACTTTTTTGGCATTTCTTTCGATTGATTATAGAGAATAACAAAAAAAGATAAAGTGTTTTAAAAGTATTATTATATAGATATAAGATGGTTTAAGGAAATGACTAAGAGAATTTCACTCAAATAACAGATACAAATTAATGGTATATATTTAATAAATAATAAAAATATCAAAGAGAAATTATGACAGAAATCTCTAACTAAGAATTAAAAATAATAATAATAATAAGTACTAGAAAAACACACAACGATATTGAGAAGAATAAAATAACAGTTTTCGTGTTTTATTATTATTATTATTATTTCCTTGAAAAAGCTTAGACCAGATTGCCAGGCGAAACCGTTGGATTTACTTTAAATTCTTTCGCTGAGATTTTAGAAAAAACATTCTTCCTCTTTAATGTTTCACATTAACTCGGCGCCCAAATATTGTGAAACTATTCGATATTATTATTTTAAAGATTTTCAGGCGAGTCTGAAATCTTTAAAAATTCTTACGGTAATACATTGATCTATTTATAAGAAATTGAAATTTGGTACAACAGAAAGATCAAGAGATGTGAAATATAAAATAAGATGATTATGTTTTGAAAAATAAAGGGAAAATTTCATTAAATAATACTAAGAGGAATATCAGTAATAGAGGATACAGCTCGTATATGAATACAAATTTTGTCTGATTAATAGATATCTGTAGCAGTTTATGAAGAACACAGTACAGAATCACAACATCACTGGTCTGTTCTTTTCTGAACTGTATCTGTAGTAGTAGTAGTCATCTCACCTGATAATTGTGAAGTGACATATTGTAACCCAAAACAATTACCTTTTATTTTGAAGCATAATGTTACGAGCTGACTGTATATATGCTTTATCTATTCAACTAAAGTGTTGAGAAGTAATTATCAGTAAGACACTATGGATAATATATGTAAGCGTCGACGAAGTTAGTGTTTTAAAATGATATCACCAACATAACTCATGATTTTTAATACATCCGAATTAATTTTGTTGAACGTGAGTATCGCCTACACAGTTTTGATATCGAATGTACGTAATCCCACAGATGTAACGATGACAAGGGATAGACAAAAGTAAAAGGCACATACCGTGCGCCAAATGATGAAGTTAGATTTTGGTAGCATGTATGTCACTGCATAAAAAAACGATTTCAACAACATAGTAAAAATTGAGAATGAATCCCTAAGGTATAATATAATAAGAGGAAATTCAACAAGTGTTGACATAAATATCTAGTTTACTTCAACAAAGTAGTAATTTGAAAGTGTTACCGGGAAAATTGTGTTTTTGACAGTGAACTTGTAAACAAATTTTTTCTGGGCTATCTATACCAACCAAGTGAGTGAACAGTATGCAAAATGTCCTGAAATATTAAAGGCTCAAACAATATAAACTTAGACTATTGAAGATAATATTGAACATTGATCAATTTTTAATGCCGAAAACTTACCGAATAGATTTTATTACTAATAATGGATCATCTGAGCATATATCTTGTTCGACCGAAGCTTCGAGACGAGCAACCACTTCTTGCCACAAACTTGAAACACCTGAACTGTTTGCTCGGTCTGTAGGTTGTTCAAAAGTGGAGAGACTCTGAGTGATGTTAGAATCAATAGATGGCGTCTAAAAGCAATCGGAAATACAATTATTCTTGACTATGTCATTACGAGAAACCAAAATTGGATATAGCTTTGAATAACATAAGTAGTAACTAAAAAAATCCATACATATTTACTCATTAGATAAGTTCAGCAGATACACTTAAGACGCAAGTGTATCAAACATCTTTATTGATTCACAAGTGTAATGTATGACTAAAAGAAAAACATTTAACAAACAAGTTTAAAATTCAACATAAATTTGAAAAGTATTTCATTATTAACGAACACAAAACATAAAGCTTGGGACTACAGTGTACTGCTACGGATTACTACATTTTACAAATAATACAGCACATGGAGAGAAAACAAAAGATGAAGATGCGCTAAAATGGAAAGTCAGTAGAGTGAGTTCATACACCGAAATATGATCCGCGCTAATGCAACAGCAAGTGGTGATTTCTACTTTTTTTATTGAAAATTCAGTAAGTTATGTACAGTTATAACTCACCAGTTTTATGTCCAGATCGATAAGCTACAACAACGTCGGATTGAAATTATGGCCAGATAGAACAGTTAAAGCCAGTATAAAAGATGGCAGCAGGGGCATAAAAGAGATATGGAGAAAATTATAACCCTAAGAAGGAATTAAGTGATATCGGAAACGAGTAACTAACACTTCCTTTATTTGTGGCAAAAAACGCTATTTCCTTGGGTAGATGAAAAACTACAGGAATACTTTTGCTGATTTTCATACAATGAATGTGATTATAAGATAAACCACTTGACAAACAAGTATCAATATGCTTAACGCCGCTTGTAGCACTTCTAGGGTTACTGCCGGTCTCAAGCCCACACAAAGGAGAATTGTTGGGCATAGGATCAGAAACCTCATCCCGCAGAAAATAAGCCTGATAAAAAAATGCTAACCAGAATAAAAAAATCTAAACCATTTAAACTCTGTCCTCGGAGTTGAAGGACTTTCATTCAAAAGAATTACGACGCCTCATAGTAAAAGCGGAAATTTTTCGGAAGCCATTGGGCCGATGCCCTCTCTAACAAATGGGGCAACAATTAATATAGGTATATGGAACGTCCGGACAATGTTGAAGACCAGGAGGATCAGTCAAATAGTTACAGAAATGAGGAGATACAACTTGGTGATCCTTGGAATCAGTGAAACCCATTAGACCCAAGCTGGACAGAAAAGAATAGATTCGGGAGAGATGCTACTGTACTCTGGTCACGAAGAATAAAGTTTCCCGCACACTCAGGGAGTTGCTCTGATGCTATCCAAAGAAGTCTCATGGATCCAGAAACGTCAAGGCATCATTCAAAACAAAGAAGGAGGGGATTGCAATGAATGTTATCCAATGTTGTGCACCCATCAAAGATAGCAACGACGACGATAAAGATAAGTTTTCCGAGAGGTTTCAATCAATCACAGCGAATCGCCCATGAAAAGACCGGACCATCCTGATCGTAGACCTAAACGCCAAAGTCGGAATGAATAACATGGAGTGACTGGGAGAAAAAACGAAAATGGTGACAGATTTGCAAATTTATATGCATTCAACAGAATAATTATAAGCGGCACAACATTCCCCCAAAAACGCATACACAAAGCTACGTGGGTCTCACCGGATCACACTACAGAGAATCAGACCTATTAAATTTGGATCAGTAAAATTTAAAGGATAATGATAGATATGAGAATCAAGTGGGGATCTGATATAGGTTCAGATCACGACCTGGTGGTTGCCAAGATGAAACTGAAGATAAAGAAACACTGGACAACTGGGAGAACAACATTAAAGTACAGCCTTCCTTTGAGATACCGACACATTCAGTGAATTCAAGATAGCTCTCAACAATAGGTTACAAGCCTTATAAGATCTACTGAAGGAAGAAACTACTACGGAGGACAACTGGAAAGGGATCAAAGAAGCAATGACTCCAACGTGTCAGGAGGTTCTGGGTCGCAACAAGCATGATCATAAAGAATGCATCTCTATCGAAACCCGGGACAAGATTCAAAAAAGGAAGAACAAGAAGATAGCAATTAACAATATCCAAACAAGAACAGAGAAAGTCAGGGCACAAGCTGAATACTCTCAAGCAAACGAGCGAATGAGGAGGAGTAATAGAGCCGACAAGCATAAAATACGTGGAGGACCTAGCAACGATAGCGAAAAGAGCTTCAACAAAAGGAAATATCAGAAAATTATATGAAACAATGAAGAAACTGGCAGGAAAATGTAGTAAACCGGAGAGACCGGTCAAGGACAAAGAAGGCGAGACAATCACTGAGATTCAAGAACAAAGGAACAGATGGGTGAAACACTTTGAGGAACTCTTCAATAGGCTGGCTCTATTGAATCCACGCCGATCATCAGACAAATCAAGAGTTGGAAAGCCATACGACTTGACAGTATACCAGCTAACACACTGAAGTCAAACGTAAAAGTAACTACAAACATGCTTCACCTTTTATTGAAGAAGACTTGGGAGGAAGGACAAGTGCCGACAGACTGAAAATAAAAATACCTCATAACAATACTAAAGTCAGGATAGAAGAATCTTATGGAACCTTCGATACTATAGTATACCTGAGAAAATCGTCAACATCATATGGAATTAATATGACGGACTGCATTGCAAAGTCATGCATAGAAGACAGCTGACACATGTATTCAAAGTGAAGACCGGAGTCAGACAACGCTGCTTACTCTCCCCTTTCCTCTGTATTCTGGTGGTTGAATGGATTGTGAAGACCTCCATATCTGAGGGGAAGCACGGAATACAATGGACAGCTTGCATGCGACTAGACCATTCGAACTTCACGGATCACCTAACCCTTCTATCCCATACACACCAACAAATGCAGGTCAAGACCACCAGTGTAGCAACAGCCTCTGCATCAGTAGGCCTCAACATATACAAGGGAAATAGCAAGATCCTCAAATACAACACGGAGATCACTAACGCAATCACACCTGATAGAGAAGCTCTGGAAGAGATAAAAACTTTCACTTACCTGGACAGCATCATCGATGAACAAGAAGGATCTGATACAGATATGAATGCAAAGATTGTTAAAGTAAAAGCAACATTCCTACAGTTGAAGAACATATGGAACTCAAGACAACTATCTGCAAACCAACATTAAAGTCAGAACCTTCAATACGAATGTCAAGACATTTCTACTGTACCGAGTTGAAACTTCGAGAACTATCACAACCGTTAGCGGGACATAGATTGGATTAAATCATGCTCAATGCACGATTGCGTTGGCTCACGCTGATCGACTAATTCTTATCCAATCAGCGCTAGTCGATACTTGGAGAACATTCTCGTATCTTCTCATGTAAAAAACTATAAATATACTAACGTTTTTCCTATTGTGCTTCTTACTTCCATCTAACCTTGTTATTTGGAATATAATCTCTTTCCTGTCAACCGTGTTCTGATTTGGGGACTTTTCGATTGGATTGGTGTCCGAGAATACTAAGCAATAGGAATAGCTGGGTTGTAATAAGAGAGAATTATAACAACAACCATCATCAAGAATGTACAAATATTTATAAACAATTGTCTGCTCAAGATACTGAATTTCCGTTGGTCGGATACCATCAGCAACAGCCTACTATGGGAGAGAACAAAGCAGCTTCCAGCTGAAGAGGAAATTAGGAAATAACTCTAGAGGTGGATAGGACACATTGCAAAAATCACCACACTACATCACAAAGCAAGCACTATATTGTAATCCTGAGGGGATACAGAAAAGATGAAGGCCAAAGAACACACTGGGTCGAGAGTAGGAAGCAAACATCAAAAGTATGAACAGCAACTGAAAAGGATTACTCAGGACAGAGTTCGATAGCGAATGCTGGTGGGCAATCTATGCCCCCCGGGGGGTAACAGACGTAAGTAAGTTATTAATCTACATACTCAGTAAGAAACCACAGTATTTTGCAAGCCCCAATGATACTACTAAGAGTGATGAATTGGTCCTGATGGTGACTACTGTTGTGAATCTCAAGTACAGCTCACATTCATAACCACATATGTTGCACGTAAATGGATGTATGCATTTACAAACAATATATCAACAGATCGGTTCGAGATTTAGATAAATAATAGATCTATAGACTGCAATCATGTAGTTTTTACCAAAATGGATTCTTTTTTCCTGGGAAACGTTCCATCAGGAAATTTTACCATACTGGGACTGAATCTTTTACTTAGGTTTTGTGTTACTTCTGAGAGGATCCTAACCACATGCATGGTCAGCTGTCAACAACTAATACCAAGTTTTTCAGACGCAAAACAAGTGGACCCTAGTGTATACAGTCATAGCATTGGCTTTTACAAGGTGAGCGAGGGTTGCGGTCAAGTATATAAACATATGGTGATTACTCATTTTTCATCTTGTAAAGATTAAATTGGCAGCAAAATTTTATGCATGTACCTCCTACGGGATACTTTTCGTTATACTAGTGACAACAACTTAGATTTTGTCGTGATGATAAGTAAAAAGAATCCTAGAAAACATTCAGACGGGAGCTGTATCAGCCTGACAAGTGCTAAATAAACACACTCTCTAACCTCTATGAGTTCCGAAAGACCGATACGTACACATGACTAAAAAAAAGTTTTATAGTTAAAAATATGACTAACTGGCCAAAATAATTAGTTAAGTGACTTTACTACCATTTAGAAAAGGAAATATACCGTTTACTTTAATCTTAAAGACCCATTACATGTTTAAAACCATCTTCCATATGTTTATATAACACTAAGAATACTAGGAACGTGCGTGAGATAATAGGGGGAAAATGTAAGACCTAGGTCGGCAAACTATTTTCCCACAATCAAAGAAAACCCTAGATGAACAAATGCTGACACTTTAGTTATTGGACACACTCAGAGACAAATGAACATTACTCTATCACAATGTAAATACTAGCTGTGTTTCCGGAAGGTCGATTAAATACTGTAGGGGTTTAGTCGGGATGGAACCGGTTCTTTTGAGGGTAGAGATGGTTTCGAAACTATTATCAAAAATACGGAAATCAGTAATTCATATGGCTTGGATTTTCATGTAAAGTTAGAAATGAAAAATCACTGACAGTGTGAATACATTACTGTGACGATTAGAACATGATGGTTCGTCTTATAATTTACTGACCTTTTTTAGGACATAGAAAAATGAGTAGCCACTTGATCAAGAAAATGTGATACACCAGATAGTCAATTCTGTTTGAAAATTTTTAGCGGAGATTGAACGTGACCGAATAAGCGAGCGTTAATCAACGTAATTTTTATATAACAGTTTGTCTTGCAATGTTGTTATCCAGAGCTAAATAAGATACCTTACATCCGAAACTAGTGAAGAGTGATTAGTGTGAGAACAAAACTTTGGGTCATTTTGTCGTAGTTAGATCAACCAACAGTGAAAACTTTTGCTGTTAACTTACGCTTTTGTACAGTCATAGCCTGGAGTGTTGGTAAAGGACTCAAGTTACAGACCTGATACGACGATTTGGTAGGCTAGCTTGTAGAATGCATGTTTACTCATTTAGATGATTCACAAACTACGCGATAGTTAGTGACAAAGCCTTCCCATCCAGAACTTGGTAGGTTGGATGAGTTTTAAAGTCACGGAAGGAGAACTACGCCTTGAAGATTGCTGAATAATAGCCCAGGCGAGTTTTTATCTCAGATGTTTGACAGCCGGAATTCCGTTGATAATCATGGCTGAAACAGTATCGCGCAGGCGTTATCAACTAAATTTTTTGGACAAAAGTGGAAGGCGGGGTACTGCCTGCTGAACTCCTATTAAGTTATTGAGAATAGGATGACACGAGCCGGATTTGTATTAGACTTTATTCGAATATAAGATATAAGCAATATATTGTCGTTTTAAATCCAAAACGTAAGCAGCAAAATATGTCCAGAAATGGACTAATGTAGTCAGACGATGACCTTACATCGAGACCTGATATTGTAAAGAATCGACCGACCAGGGTTTTTATGATACCCCCAATATTGTTGCCTGTTCATTTTCACGTTCAAGGAAGTCCAAATACAGAAAGATAACCGAGAAACATGCTATGTTTTAAATATCACCACCCAAGTACCCGGAAACGCCCTTATGCTTTAAAAAAGTTGTAACACTATAACCAAGATTCCGGAGTTAGGTAACTATATTGTCCAAATGCATAATATCTCGATGCAAATTGAAGTTACCTTGCCATCGGTTAAAAATAGCATACAATCTCCTACAAACATTGCTGTCTTCAATGGGGAGAGTCGTAAACCTGAACGCAGAACTTAGAACATCAGGGAAAAACAGAGGGTGTCGCGGAAACTATTCAGCATTTCGCAGCCAACCCTGTTTAATCGTTCTTGTTTTCGCTTAATTAATCTTACTGGTATCTACTGGAGTGAATACCAGTTTGTGCTATTATGGTGTTCCATATGTAACACCCCGTAAAAATCACTTATAAGATAACAAATTTTTCATGAGTTTCCAAAAGCATAGTAAATTCACTGAGACAGCAAATGTTATTTGAATACAGAAAGAGAATACACAAGTCAAAACTTGAATATACCAGATATAAATGGCATGTAATCCCATCCTCACAAACCCCGAACCGAAATGAGTCAAAACTTCAGTACTATCGAACTTATTGATTTTAATGAAGAATAAATTTGGAATTATTTACGAAAAACATGTTTCATAGTGTTAACCAAAATAGTAAAGTATGGAAAAAAAATCTACCATTAGGCCAGCAGACCGAAAAAGCGCCCAATAAGGTCAAATGTACAAAGTACAATCCGAAGCTATAGTGTGTTAGTGGTCCTTTGAGAACTTCAGAAAAAATAAAAATCCTTGATCCGTCTAGATACCATGGCTTTAATTTCTTCATAGCTATTGTTACTTTTCCAAACTGCATACGTATGTAAAGCCAAATGAACAACAAGGAAAGAAAGAAATAAGTAAGAAAATAACAAATTACATCAGTAAGATATGACATGCGTTTGTGCAGTAATATTTTGCGGTGATACCATGAAAGTCTAAAGTAACTGAAAAGGATTATCAAATATCAACATGTATGAGCCATACATAAGTAGTGAAAATTAAATGAATCTGGGAAGGTGATTTGTGTAAGTGTAACACAAGATATTAAATTAATGATAAACTTCAAACTTGTGAATTTCTTATCAGTAATTGTGAACCATCTATCCTAGGTCCTTATTAGTCACTGAAGGAGATTCTGATGAAATGTTTAACTACTTATTACATACGGAATTGAAGTGTAAATAAGTACATACGAATAAAAAGCTCTCTCACTCTCATGTGCAAGCAAGAAATTGCTGCTGTTGGTTTTCGGGTTTAAAAAGACAATATTCAAGAAATTCATTTATCAAAGTGGCTGGGGCGTGACTTTTAAATAAAGCTTCTATAGCATTTTCCCCCGAGGCTAGTTGTCCAAAGACCCACCGTGATAAGCAGGTGGCCATAATCCTGTGGTTTTAAGGCATATACATTTTGGCGTGTAGTGGTAAATAAATCCCTATCACAAATAGTTTCGTAAAACTTAGATATCGATTTTAACCTCATTAGTTTTACTGGACATACCCTAATTTCAGGATATCCGTCACCCAACTTCAAAAGATCACTATTATGTAAATTATGCTGTGCAATTCCCATATGAACTAGTTGGCTTGCATCATATACTTTTCGACGCATCAACTATCTCCCAAATAATACTTCGAACTACGTTATCCCTGTGTTCCAGTTTAGCTGCTCTTGGAATTCTGAACTATAAAGTATTACGAAAAACTGTAATATCAGGTACTTAAGATCCGTGATATTTTTACTTGATTCTGTATGAAATTCCGTTATGGATGTCATATTTTTTCGCTTAACGCGATGTCTTTCGGTTTCGGACACAATGTAAACACGTTATACCGGGAAGCATATGAATATATGGATGAATTTAGGCTGCCTAAAGGCGTGTCCACGTTAGTTGTGTCTTTGGGTATTCCGACTTCTAGGAAACGCATACCAAATGGAGTAAAATTTTGAGGAAAAATGTTCCTAGAAAGAGATGATGCATAAGGATGACTTAGTGGGGATGCCTTACGGCTGTAGATACATCTAAGAGGTTCTTGAAATAATGATACCTACTTGGCTACCTACTAAATATGTGCACAATATTACACCACAATCAGAATACACCAGTGAAAGAATGATCTACAGGATGCTCTCATTCAGATATAATCGAAAAGTTTCGCCAGAGACTATTACACTAAAGTGGATTTCAGTTTTTGATCCGGAATAATGAAACACCAATGAATCGAATATTTTAAATGAAGAAAAACATGTCAGATATTTCAAGATATTTTTAGTTACTTCTATGTCAAACAACAACTAAAAAGCCACTCAATTGAATATGAATTGAGTGACTGTAATTTGCCACATAAAAGTTAATACTGGAGATTATTTGTAAATTCAAGAAAACAAGCTAAATAGATCGTTCGATCAAACTTTTGACCTTGCTAGTTACACTGACCACAGAGAGTGGTAGATTAGTTTCCTGAAAACTATCTACTCAATAACTTTATAGTATCCTAATTTCAACATATCAGATCGTGTAACATCAAACATCTGTGTACCTCAAACGGATAGAACGTCTGGTTTAAGTACGACCACTCCATGTCTGTATATTCAACGAATTACGTAAAATTTTTCTCCTATCTGTTGTTGAAAACTGCGGTCTTTTTGTTATCGCTAGGCTTTACGCCCACATAAGATCATATATCGGCTAAGTCAATTACAGATTTCAAATTAAGATTTGTTTAGTAAGGACAGAAGGCCTATCTTATTCCTTTTCTAGTATACTTCTATGGGTGTCTAGTCTTCTCTTGAATCAATCTGTTGAGGGCGCGGACACCATTCCTTCGGGTATTAGGTTCCAAGTATTGATGACTCAGTGTGAAAATCTGTATGTCACGGGTATTTTTGTTCAACCTTGGCTTTTCTATGTACTCTGAGATGTCCTGATCTAGTGGGAAGAAAAAGAGAGGATATATTAGGTCCAAAGTCATTTCTTAGTATTCTGTACATCAAAACTAAATCACCTCTTAGTCTGCAATAGGACAGAGTTAGTAGGTCTAGATTTTTAAGCCACTCTTTTTATGGTAAATCCCGTTGTTCTGGAATTGCACATGTAGCTGCCCTCTGTACTTTTCTCAGGATATCCGAGTCACTTATTAAACAGGGGATTGCAGCCTGAACGCAGTTCTCAGGCTTAGTTCTCATTAAGGTTGTGTATACTGTAGTGAACACGGTAGTATCTAAATTGGTGAGTATCCTTTTTAAAACCCATAAATTTCTAAACCCCTTAGCTGCGACCTCCTGGCAATGGGCCGTGGTCCTAAGATCATGACTCACTGTCACCCCAAAATGCTTGTGAGTCCGTACTACTGGTACTTGTTGGATTATGGTCTACAATTATATTAATACTGCTCTAATAATCGACCTAATCCTAACATTGTAGATTTGTCATAGTGTAATGCTGGCACTTCCCTCGTGTTGTACTTGTTTACCTTTGTATACTCAAGGTGCATTTAGACACTCTTTGCAACGTTGTTAGGAATCAGCCACTCTTTAAACCAGTTAATCACATTATTTTAGTCTACCTGAAGTGCGCATGCATCTGCGTTTCCGGTTATTACTCGCCACATTTCTACGTCAGCCTATCACAACATTGGGGACTTTACTATGCTTGACAGGTCACTTACATACAGCATAAAAAGTGAGGGACCTAGGGCATAACTTCGCGGTATTCCACTATATGTATTTGTTTCCAAGTGAAGCGCTAGGGAATTACTCTTAATTTCTGTATACGACCCACTAGGAAATCCTTAAGGAATTTTAGTAGAGGTACTCAGTATCAAGATTTTCTAGCTTCAATAGTAGTTTATTTGTTGGCACCTTGTCAAATGCTTCGCTGAAGTCTGTGTAGATATCATCCACTCATTTTTTGTTGTCTGGAGCCTGTGGAAGTTTTCTTATTCCTGTTTTATGTATAGTAGTGAGGATTGCATCCTTCCAGTTCATAAGTAACACACCTTAGTCAAGTGACACAATGAATATCGCAGTTAGTGTAGCGGCAATATATTACTTTATTTGTCTCAGGATTTCAGGGTATAGTTAATCCGTTCCTGCTAACTTTTCCGTGTCTAAGGTGCTAAAAGCCTTCAGTACATCGTCGTGACCACAGTCCACGGTGAGCAAACGATTTGTTAACCTTGTGTTTGGGTGTAGGTCTTCGTCTAGAAGGGGCTCCTGAGTGGAAAATGTCCCGAAATAGTTTTTCATAGCCTCTGCCTTTTCATGATCATCCTCTATCATTTCAGATCCACTCTCTTCTTTAATTAGGTTGTAAATCCAATGCTGCATTTTTGTCCTGTAGTTTGTGAACGAGACTAGTCTCTTAGGCTGCTTGATTGCAGATTGTGCCGACTGCCTTTCATATTTTCTCTGAGCTTCCCGGATTTAAATATCACACTTATATCTTACCGACCTATAGCGTTCCATATTGCTTGCTGTGCCATGGCTGATGGCAACTTTCCAACATTTCTTCTTATGTCTAAGCAAACGTCGAATACCCCGGACTATCCAGGGATGGCTATACTTGTTCTTCGAGACTGTTCAGGGTATATATGGTTGAGTCACCCGATTGTATAACTGCCTGAAATGAGTCCATGCCTCTTCTACTGATGCCTCTGAGTCAATTTCCTAGTTTTCAGTAGATGCTGTAGAGTTTATCACCTCCATGTCTGCTTTTCATATGTTGGGACGGGACGGCGCAACTGTTTGACAGGCCATCTCAGCCATGAACTTGTAGCGTGGAGTCGAGTTGAGGTTAACTATGAACACCGCTACCAAGAAACACGTGCCAGATAAATCAGAAGGCGAGGGTTGGACGTAACCAAATAGATCCATAAAATCCCCGAGAAGCCAAATACCAGAAGGCAATTAATGGACCAAGTCGATGTTTATTAGCTGGCGATCTCGTGGCATCGAAAGGATACCGAGATCGTGCCAGGATACAAGCTTGGTTACAGAAAGTAACCGAATTCGCGCGAAGTTACAATCGAAGTGTAAGTAAAAGAATGGAAGCACAAAATAGCTGTCATTAGCACAGTCAAACAAAAGCACGTTAAAACAAACACTGGTACAGTTGGTTATAATAATAATTGTTTTTATTAAACCAGTCGTGTTCTCGTGATAACCGTAAGTCACTACAAACTTGGTAGAAAAGTTATTTGGCCGACATCATCACCGTGTATGAAGACTAAATCCAAGAGAGGCGAGGAGCTTCGTGATTGCTATTCGGTGGGATCTCCAATGTACTGGTATAAAGTTAGTGTAATTGAGGTTTCTAACAGTTTGCAATCAAATGACGATGTCGATGACCCTATTTCTAAGTTGACCCAGTTTACAACAAAAAAATAATGTTATAAAGCTCAGCCATTCTTCAGAGATTTCTCAAATAGTGGTTGCTGTTTACTTTAGTTAAGTGCATACTAAGGCGATGACATAAAGTACTATTCCACAAACATTTACATGACAGCTCTGATTGTTTTTCTTTCCGGTTTCATAGGTGGCACGGCTACAACCGTATCTTTCTATTACAACCAAAGCTCCTCCACAAGACAGACGCAAGTTCGTATAAATAATTCACTAATTCTGCAGGACAAAGTTTGAGGTTTGAAGTTATTTCGCGCCTAAGTTAATCATCTTC